CCCACAGGGCCCAATTGAAATTTGGAGCCCAATTAGGCAGCCCCTACGATTTTCTTCAAAATTGGCACAGACACTCTCCTGGGCCCCCTCTTTAATCTGGCTGAAGAAACTTACCGGGGAATCCAAAGGAAGGGGCCCAAAGAGGGCCCCAAAGAGGCCCTTTCTAAGTATTGCCCCTAATTTCGCGACCAACCCCGGCAATATGCAAATCATTGGAAAGAGCGTAATTTCCCAAACAAAAAACCCAAGTAACATTTTTCGATGGGGCCCACCTGGGGCCCACAGGATCCAATTGAAATTTTGGGCCCAATGGGGCGGCCCCTACGATTTTCTTCAAAATTGGCACAGACACTCTCCTGGGCCCCCCCCCCTTCAATCTGGCTGAAGAAACCTACCGGGGAATCCAAAGAAAGGGGCCCAAAGAGGGCCCCAAAGAGGCCCTTTCTAAGTATTGCCCCTAATTTCGCGACCAACCCCGGCAATATGCACATCATTGGAAAGGGCGTAATTTCCCAAACAAAAAACCCAAGTAACGTTTTTCGATGGGGCCCACCTGGGGCCCACAGGACCCAATTGAAATTTGGGGCCCAATGGGGCGGCCCCTACGATTTTCTTCAAAATTGGCACAGACACTCTCCTGGGCCCCCTCTGTAATCTGGCTGAAGAAACCTACCGGGGAATCCAAAGGAAGGGGCCCAAAGAGGGCCCCAAAGAGGCCCTTTCTAAGTATTGCCCCTAATTTCGCGACCAACCCCGGCAATATGCACATCATTGGAAAGAGCGTAATTTCCCAAACAAAAAACCCAAGTAACATTTTTCGATGGGGCCCACCTGGGGCCCACAGGATCCAATTGAAATTTGGGGCCCAATGGGGCGGCCCTTACGATTTTCTTCAAAATTGGCACAGACACTCTCCTGGGCCCCCTCTTTAATCCGGCTGAAGAAACCTACCGGGGAATCCAAAGGAAGGGGCCCAAAGAGGGCCCCAAAGAGGCCCTTTCTAAGTATTGCCCCTAATTTCGCGACCAACCCCGGCAATATGCACATCATTGGAAAGAGCGTAATTTCCCAAACAAAAAACCCAAGTAACATTTTTCGATGGGGCCCACCTGGGGCCCACAGGATCCAATTGAAATTTGGGGCCCAATGGGGCGGCCCCTACGATTTTCTTCAAAATTGGCACAGACACTCTCCTGGGCCCCCTCTTCAATCTGGCTGAAGAAACCTACCGGGGAATCCAAAGAAAGGGGCCCAAAGAGGGCCCCAAAGAGGCCCTTTCTAAGTATTGCCCCTCTTTGGGGCCCTCTTTGGGCCCCTTCCTTTGGATTCCCCGGTAGGTTTCTTCAGCCAGATTGAAGAGGGGGCCCAGGAGAGTGTCTGTGCCAATTTTGAAGAAAATCGTAGGGGCCGCCCCATTGGGCCCCAAATTTCAATTGGGTCCTGTGGGCCCCAGGTGGGCCCCATCGAAAAATGTTACTTGGGTTTTTTGTTTGGGAAATTACGCTCTTTCCAATGATGTGCATATTGCCGGGGTTGGTAGCGAAATTAGGGGCAATACTTAGAAAGGGCCTCTTTGGGGCCCTCTTTGGGCCCCTTCCTTTGGATTCCCCGGTAGGTTTCTTCAGCCAGATTGAAGAGGGGGCCCAGGAGAGTGTCTCTGCCAATTTTGAAGAAAATCGTAGGGGCCGCCCCATTGGGCCCCAAATTTCAATTGGGTCCTGTGGGCCCCAGGTGGGCCCCATCGAAAAATGTTACTTGGGTTTTTTGTTTGGGAAATTACGCTCTTTCCAATGATGTGCATATTGCCGGGGTCGGTCGCGAAATTAGGGGCAATACTTAGAAAGGGCCTCTTTGGGGCCCTCTTTGGGCCCCTTCCTTTGGATTCCCCGGTAGGTTTCTTCAGCCAGATTGAAGAGGGGGCCCAGGAGAGTGTCTGCCAATTTTGAAGAAAATCGTAGGGGCCGCCCCATTGGGCCCCAAATTTCAATTGGGTCCTGTGGGCCCCAGGTGGGCCGCATCGAAAAATGTTACTTGGGTTTTTTGTTTGGGAAATTACGCTCTTTCCAATGATGTGCATATTGCCGGGGTTGGTCGCGAAATTAGGGGCAATACTTAGAAAGGGCCTCTTTGGGGCCCTCTTTGGGCCCCTTCCTTTGGATTCCCCGGTAGGTTTCTTCAGCCAGATTGAAGAGGGGGCCCAGGAGAGTGTCTGTGCCAATTTTGAAGAAAATCGTAGGGGCCGCCCCATTGGGCCCCAAATTTCAATTGGGTCCTGTGGGCCGCAGGTGGGCCCCATCGAAAAATGTTACTTGGGTTTTTTGTTTGGGAAATTACGCTCTTTCCAATGATGTGCATATTGCCGGGGTCGGTCGAGAAATTAGGGGCAATACTAAGAAAGGGCCTCTTTGGGGCCCTCTTTGGGCCCCTTCCTTTGGATTCCCCGGTAGGTTTCTTCAGCCAGATTGAAGAGGGGGCCCAGGAGAGTGTCTGTGCCAATTTTGAAGAAAATCGTAGGGGCCGCCCCATTGGGCCCCAAATTTCAATTGGGTCCTGTGGGCCCCAGGGGGGCCCCATCGAAAAATGTTACTTGGGTTTTTTGTTTGGGAAATTACGCTCTTTCCAATGATGTGCATATTGCCGGGGTTGGTCGCGAAATTAGGGGCAATACTTAGAAAGGGCCTCTTTGGGGCCCTCTTTGGGCCCCTTCCTTTGGATTCCCCGGTAGGTTTCTTCAGCCAGATTAAAGAGAGGGCCCAGGAGAGTGTCTGTGCCAATTTTGAAGAAAATCGTAGGGGCCGCCCCATTGGGCCCCAAATTTCAATTGGGTCCTGTGGGCCACAGGTGGGCCCCATCGAAAAATGTTACTTGGGTTTTTTGTTTGGGAAATTACGCTCTGTCCAATGATGTGCATATTGCCGGGGTTGGTCGCGAAATTAGGGGCAATACTTAGAAAGGGCCTCTTTGGGGCCCTCTTTGGGCCCCTTCCTTTGGATTCCCCGGTAGGTTTCTTCAGCCAGATTGAAGAGGGGGCCCAGGAGAGTGTCTGTGCCAATTTTGAAGAAAATCGTAGGGGCCGCCCCATTGGGCCCCAAATTTCAATTGCGTCCTGTGGGCCCCAGGTGGGCCCCATCGAAAAATGTTACTTGGGTTTTTTGTTTGGGAAATTACGCTCTTTCCAATGATGTGCATATTGCCGGGGTTGGTCGCGAAATTAGGGGCAATACTTAGAAAGGACCTCTTTGGGGCCCTCTTTGGGCCCCTTCCTTTGGATTCCCCGGTAGGTTTCTTCAGCCAGATTAAAGAGGGGGCCCAGGAGAGTGTCTGTGCCAATTTTGAAGAAAATCGTAGGGGCCGCCCCATTGGGCCCCAAATTTCAATTGGGTCCTGTGGGCCCCAGGTGGGCCCCATCGAAAAATGTTACTTGGGTTTTTTGTTTGGGAAATTACGCTCTTTCCAATGATGTGCATATTGCCGGGGTTGGTCGCGAAATTAGGGGCAATACTTAGAAACGGCCTCTTTGGGGCCCTCTTTGGGCCCTTCCTTTGGATTCCCCGGTAGGTTTCTTCAGCCAGATTAAAGAGGGGGCCCAGGAGAGTGTCTGTGCCAATTTTGAAGAAAATCGTAGGGGCCGCCCCATTGGGCCCCAAATTTCAATTGGGTCCTGTGGGCCCCAGGTGGGCCCCATCGAAAAATGTTACTTGGGTTTTTTGTTTGGGAAACTACGCTCTTTCCAATGATGTGCATATTGCCGGGGTTGGTCGCGAAATTAGGGGCAATACTGAGAAAGGGCCTCTTTGGGGCCCTCTTTGGGCCCCTTCCTTTGGATTCCCCGGTAGGTTTCTTCAGCCAGATTGAAGAGGGGGCCCAGGAGAGTGTCTGTGCCAATTTTGAAGAAAATCGTAGGGGCCGCCCCATTGGGCCCCAAATTTCAATTGGGTCCTGTGGGCCCCAGGTAGGCCCCATCGAAAAATGTTACTTGGGTTTTTTGTTTGGGAAATTACGCTCTTTCCAACGATGTGCATATTGCCGGGGTTGGTCGCGAAATTAGGGGCAATACTTGAAAGGGCCTCTTTGGGGCCCTCTTTGGGCCCCTTCCTTTGGATTCCCCGGTATGTTTCTTCAGCCGGATTAAAGAGGGGGCCCAGGAGAGTGTCTGTGCCGATTTTGAAGAAAATCGTAGGGGCCGCCCCATTGGGCCCCAAATTTCAATTGGGTCCTGTGGGCCCCAGGTGGGCCCCATCGAAAAATGTTACTTGGGTTTTTTGTTTGGGAAATTATGCTCTTTCCAATGATTTGCATATTGCCGGGGTTGGTCGCGAAATTAGGGGCAATACTTAGAAAGGGCCTCTTTGGGGCCCTCTTTGGGCCCCTTCCTTTGGATTCCCCGGTATGTTTCTTCAGCCGGATTAAAGAGGGGGCCCAGGAGAGTGTCTGTGCCAATTTTGAAGAAAATCGTAGGGGCCGCCCCATTGGGCCCCAAATTTCAATTGGGTCCTGTGGGCCCCAGGTGGGCCCCATCGAAAAATGTTACTTGGGTTTTTTGTTTGGGAAATTACGCTCTTTCCAATGATGTGCATATTGCTGGATTTTGTCGATGTTATAGGCCTGAAATTGTTGAAAACGTTTATTTATGCCCCGATGGCATACTCCCGGGCCCATATATTTGAAGCTGTTTTGTTCGGTTCAGGGGGGCGCTAGCCCCCTAAATTTGGTACCGTTGTACGTAAAATTTTGTCCTCTTTCGAATGACGTGCATTTTTAGCTGTTTTGACGGCTAGAAGTAGGGTTTTCAAAGTTCGTCGATTGTGCCCTGAGGGCATACTGTTTTTTGGGATTTGTGGCCCCCCTGATGGATTCCCCGCATTTTGGCACCAGGATTTTCGATAGAGGACACCATTCTGTACCTCTCCACCAAAATTCAGCGAAATCGTAGGGGCCGTCGATCCCTGCTGAATCCCTGCTGAACCCCTGCTGAATCCCTGCTAACTTCCGTTACATAGGATTTCGAGGCCTCCTCATTGTTAAACACCTAAGGTAGGTTGAATTCAAATACTTCATCCCGTAAATTGGGGATATTTGATTCGAGATTGTGATTCACAGCTCAGTATGAGTAGTCAGTTGTTAACAGTTTCAGTTGAGTTCAGTTGAGTTTGACATTATAAACATTAATTTTGTAATAAAATGCAGACATTTTTATGAGCTTTCTCAAATACCTACTTGCAGCATTGCTACTGTACTGGCAATGATCTTGTGGCTTGTTGCATAGGTGGCGGAACGGGGAGGGAACTGGGGAGTGGGGCATCATGCCCCCTTTGATTTTGACATTTAAACATTAGCCCTAATGGGCATTGCATGGATAGAATGGGACCAAAAGTCAGCAATCAGCAGTGCCCCCCTTAATTGAAGGTGTTCCGCCGCTACTGGCTTGCTGATATGTCCTTACAAAGTATCTGTGTTATATCACCAAACATGAGGCCGAGGGGCTAGTATAACCCTTGCTGGCACAGGCCATTTTGCATCCTTCGACGGCCCAAGGGGGTTGGTAGTGGTACCCACCCGGCACCCACGATTGGCCCCTGATTGAGGCGAGCTAGAGCTTCGTGGAAAAAGGAACGTTTTGCCTGTGACAAGAGGAAGAGGAAGCGATAAGATACCTCATTTTAACCCGCGCCGGGCCGGTGCTCTGAGATTCCGTGCCGGGCCGGGGGGTGTCTGAACACCCCCCTTCCAACTCTGCTCCTGGGCCACGTAGCGACACGCGGTAAGCGGCAATCGAACAAAGGTCCAAAATAAGGATGAAAACACTTCTGTCATTTTTTGGATCAGGTCAAAGGTCAGGTCACCAGAGGTCACCAAAGGTAAAATGTTGACTATTTCAACATTTTGGAAACTGCCAACGGCTATCTCGGGAACCGATAGAGCTACAGCGCCGCAGAAAAGTGCATTTGATAGCCCTTTTACAGACCTTTCTGAGTAATATTCTCAAATTTGACCTCAGGTCAACAGTTTAGCCTCCAGAGGGCAAAAACTCCCAAAATAGCTGTTTTTACGAAAAGCGTTTTTTTCGGCAATAACTTTTGACTCAAAAGAGCCATGACATTACTTTTGCCAGCATCGTGTTCCTCTCGTCGAGACGCGTCGAATGAACTATAATTTGTTGAAAGGTCAACTTGAAAATTTGACCTCAGGTCAAGGTCATGACCTGACCGGAAAAGGTCATGTTGCATATCAGTCGATCCGCAACGTCGAGCCGAATACATCTAGGGCGTTTTAAGCGCTCTAGCACGACTCTATCAGAAGTTATTAGCGAAAAGCTGCTAGATTCTGTTCGTGAGCTGAGATGACCTCGGGGACATAACGAAGGGTCACAGTTGCCATTTTCCGGTTCAGTGTGTCAATTTTGCCTACATCTCGATGTTTGAGAGTGTCTAGAATAGCGTTCGTGCAAAACAGACGCTTTTCAATTTTCTCCCATTTACTTATAGGTAATGGAGAGGCCGCAAAATTGACCTGACCTTAGGTCACCCTCACCGATATCAAAATTCCGAGATATACATTTTATTGATAATGTTGCTCTAATCAATCCCTGAAAGTTTGAAGGCAATCGATCAATCGGTGTAGCTATGACGAGCATTCTTATTTTTTTCTGAGGTGAGGTCAATTGGCGTGACCTGGTGACCTGACCTAAGGCGACCTGGGTCTGAAATTTTCACAACATGTGCGGAAAAGATGCACGAACAGGTGTGCCAAAAACCGCAGGGGGTGTTAAAACACCCCCCCCCCCGTCCCGGCGCGGGTTAAGGTCGTAGGTAGGTCATCAGTTTACCTTCCAGGTCAGGTCAATGACCCAAGAGTCAGGAAAATCTGGACTTGTTAGAACACAGTATATTGTGACTGCCACGGGGTTTTTATCAGGGTGCTGATCATAAACATCATGCTAGTTTTGAGCACGGATGATTTTGATCACGGATGATTTCTTTAAGCATTTAGGTCAGGTCAGGTCAACCAGTATTGGTAATGTCAGGTACCTATTGGTAGTATGTGTTGACCGCCTCTGACAGCTTCGTAACATGTTGCGAAAGCACTATAACCTTACCAAATACCAACCTTAACCTTCCAGGCGGTGGGGGGGGGGGGCATTTTTTTGCCCCCCTTTAGTTTTTTTAATATATCTCGAGAACCGCTGCGCCGATCGTCACCAAACTTTCAGTACCCTCCCGGGAGCAGCTAGCGCACATGGTAACCAAAAATTTCTCCAAAGGCTATGATAGGTTGGCCGCTAATGACGTCAGAGTGACGTCATTTTTACCATTTTCTACCCAAAAAAAAAGGTTTCGCGGGAAGAGCTGTCAGGCCTACAGCTTTAGAGATACAGAAAAATGTTTCAGACATAAAAGGTGTGGAATCAAGAGGGCTACAAAACTGCTATATCGGTTTTTCGAATTTTTATGGATTTTGACCCCCAAAAATAAAAAAATAGATTTTTTGAATATAATAGCCAAAAAATCCAAAAAGTTTTTTGAATTTCGAAAAAAACCGGAATATATGTGATAGTCCCTACCGCCTTTTATCTACATACCAAATTTGAGATCGATACCTCTTTTTTTGGCCAAGTTATAGCGAAAAAACTGTTCAAAATTGATGACGTCAAATTTTCAAACTCAATTTTTAGCAATTATAGACTTCGTAGCGCAAAACAAAGACCACCATTAGACTCCCCGTGACGAGCTGCATCGAATCGATACCCATTTTATGCAAAAATATCAACTTTGAAATTTGACCTTTTTTTACCTGACCTTGACCTGACGTCCACCAGAAAGTGACCTAAACCGTACCTGATGGTCTTATAACCAACACCATTGAGTTGGAAATGAAAAACTGGCCATAAAACATGCATCACATAACCTTAGTAAAGTTGGGCTCATGTGGTGACCCTTGGTGAATGGTGACCTTTGGTGACCTGACCTGTGACCTGACCTGGTATGACCAGTGACCTCTAATAGCAACATATGTACTAGACAACTGACGCCTTATCGCTGATTTTCGACAAAATGCGTTTTACTCGGTGTTATAGCGCTTTCCCTAGAAGCCCCTTGAACGGTGAAACATTTTATCTTTGACCTGACCTGTGACGTCATCGGTGACCCCGAGGTCAATGAAATTTGGTTTCCCTCGACAAATTTGACAGGGCTATCGAACGCCGTTTGAATTTTCCGGATCCGTCCAGTAGTTTCGGAGATACGGGGGGGGGGCAAAAAAATGCCCCCCCCCCCGCGCGGAAGGTGGCTGGTAGGCCCACCGCCTGCCGGGTTAAAGTGATTGGGATATGTAAAGGCACTAAAGCCTGGAGGTCCCGCTCTCATCAAACTCATGTGTTCTGTTCAGACTCGACTCAGTCGGTGTCAGGCACCAGGTGTTCGAACTGTCCTTTGTATAACTACTTCGTAAATGTTCAAATGGTTGCTAAATTCTAATTCAGCTCCAAGAACTGGCCTAGAAATTTGTAAATCTGGAAAAGTTGGACCGAGGTCATCAAAGGTCAATGACCTGACCTGACTCAGGTGACCTTGGCTCACCCCCTATTGCAGGGAGGCAACATCAAATAACATGTTTGAATGCTTGAAACCACAAAAAAAAAACTGTAATTGTGCGGCTGATGGGAGATGACACGCGCCGATTCGCGATTCCGGCCAAAACATGGTCTCGAAAAGTAGGTCACAGGTAGGTCAAAGGTCATTTGGGTCAGGGTCATGAAATTTGCAGGATAGGTGTAAAATTGATCAATGCGAGGGTACTGAAAGTTTCGTCGCGATCGGCCGCTTTTTACGCGAGTTATTTGCGAAAAACCTTGGGGGGGGGGTTGCATCAACCCCCCGTGCCGGCGAGGGTTAATGGGTGCCCCTCGGTATTACCGCTAAAAATCGGTTGCAACAACCCCCCCCCCCCAACAACCCATCCAACAACCCATTGTACCGTCGAGGGGTAAATAATAGATAGATAGTTTTAGTTAAAAAAAAAGAAAAATTGTTGTCAACATACCTAGCCAACTTACCTGGACAGGCTTCTATCATTAAGAATAGGTAAAAAATAGATAAAAATAGAAAATGTACTGTGAATATTTTCTAATCAACATTGACATGCCTACATATTGTTGTCACGTCATCAACAGCAACTACATTTTGTTAGAAGTAAGGTTGGTGTGAAATTCATGTTGCAAATCACACCAAAGACCCATGGCATGACTATTCATGCCCTATGCAATTGCAACATCAATGTACTGTCATGTGTGCAGGTTTTCAATGTTTTTTTTTCTTCGTATTCATATTAATATTATTCATATTCTAAAGCCAAAAATGCCCTGACATTACCTACTGTTATTGCTCTGCAATCATGTCTTAAGAAGCCATTGCCCCCCCCCCCCAAAAAAAAACTAATAGCGGGGTCATTGACTGTTGACATGACTATGAGAGTATGAGGTCACCAGTAGGACTGTGATCTTTAGATTTGGCACCATTGGCTTCCCTCTGTAGAGAGAAGCAGCTTATTGTCCATGAAGTTCTAGCTCAGAAAGAGACCAAAGTCAAACACGAATAGGGTGTACCCACTCCCAGTGTTCAAACTGTCCTTTGTGGTCTTCATCCCAACTTCTAGGGAAGACAATCTGACTAGATTCCTAGCAGTTAGCACCGCAATCCACATATTGTGGCTGCTAAAAGATTATTGATGGGATGAGTGACCTAAAAGTTTTTATCACATAGCTTGGAAAATTTGAAAGATTCCAGGCAAAAGAGTAACTTTGTGCATTTATAGAGAATAAGATCATTTGGATCTGCCTAGGACCAGTCAAGGGCGTTATTTTCAACTTTGCATTACCAAGCACTCCAAAGTCCCGCAGCATTCTTACTGAGCGCTCCCGCCGCCCCCGCCAGGTCGCGCCATGAGTGACGCGGACGGAGGCGCGGCCGGCGGCTCCGGCAGCCTGGGCATGCTGTTCCTGCGCCGCACGGCCGCCATCCTGGGTATCTACGCGGTCGGCTACCTGGAGCTGTCGCCCGCCTGGCTGGTCGGCGGCATCATCCTCTCCGTGATGAGGGAGAAGTGGAGCCGCCAGAAGAAGACCAAGCGCGAACTGGCGCGCGCCATCGCGCTCAACAGCGAGCAGGTCACTCTGGCCAAACTGCAGGACCTGCCCTCCTGGGTGAGTGGGGGCTGAAAAGGTGTGGGGGGAGTGGTGAAAGCTGCGAAAATGCGCTGATGTAATAATATTAGATGATTTAGTTTCTCGGAATGCGGTAGGCGTTTCAAGATGGTCATTATCACCTAAGCTACCGAGTGGCAGCTTGATGGGAGTTTGGTGCAGATGGATGAGCATGCTGTTTTCGCTCGATACCGCTATTTGATTTATTTGTTTGTATGCGAACTGCAATCCGTCGTTAGATTCAGCTTTTAACCCTCGCCCGTAAACGGCGATCTGCCACCTTCGCCCATGCAGGGGGGGTTGGTGCGACCCCCCCCCTTGGCGTTTGAAAACGGAGCGTCGTAGAGCTTAGCGGAAAAGACCAACGGATTGCTCTCGCCGAGATCTCGCGATTGGTGGTATATTTTTTGGTCCTAGGTCAACATTTGACCTACTTTTGACCGGTCAAAGGTCAAATTTTCGGAAAAATAGACTTTTTTCAACTTTCGGCGGCGATTGCGGCAAAACGGTGGGAGATATCGACTTGAAACCTTCACTATCGTGTTCCTTGATCAATTCTCTATCGTTTGGTATGTATTTCGTTTCCCTAGCTCTAAAAATGGCGCGTTGGGAGCGCCGGAAGTCGTCAAGGTCACAGTCGGCGGCAGAAATTCGAAAAATCAAAATTTAAAATTTTGAAATCTGATTGTATTTTTGGATTTGGGAGGTCCATTTGCTCCCTATAGAAGCTAATATTGCTGCATATTCCCATTGAGGTGACAAGAATTAGCAAAATAGTGGTTCGGGCGCTTTTCAAAAATAGTACCGGACGCTGTTCCTCTTGTGACGTCATAGCTCCGTGACCTAACCTGACCCGGTCAAGTTTCTTATACCATATGATAGCCAATACTTGCCCCAACATGCATGGGAAGTTTCATCACGATCCATCAACCGATGTCCGTACCACCGGCAGGAAACCTCGGGCGTTGGCACTCAGTTTGTGAAAATCCGGCCGGAGGCTGTTCCCTTTGTGACGTCATAACTCCGTGACCTGACATGACCCGGTCAAATTTTTTATCAAAAGATCCGCAAGGTTTGCCCCATAAGGTACCCAAAATTTGGCGGCGCTGCGCGCCGCCGTTTTTGCACTATTTCCGAAAAGCCTCAGGGGGGGGGGTGCACCAACCCCCCCCCCCCTACATGGGCGAGGGATAAGATTATTTACATTTATCCTTTCATTTACAGGTTCACTTCCCTGATGTAGAAAGAGCAGAGTGGCTGAACAAGGTAAGGTGACATTTCAGCTATGATAGCCATTTGACAACGAATCACATTTTGTCATCTCTTCATCGTCACCAAGTTGAACAGTTAATGGCACAAAGCTCTCTTACAGATGCTGAAACAAATGTGGCCATATGTGGGCGACTACGTCAAGAACTTGTTGAAGACGCAGTTCGAAGCCAGCTTGGCGGCCACCATGTCCGGCTACAAACTCTACAACTTCAAGTTCGAGAAGATATACCTCGGTGATATTGTAAGTACACTTTAGTATATTCATCATTCGTTCACAAAATTGTCTACATTCTTTTTTCTGATTCATTCACAGACTGCTGATGCTGATACTGCTATAAACTCCGCCACACGCTGAATACCTCCTCCGCCCACCGTTTTCAGCCGCCCCGGGTTGGCGGAGTGAAGGTGTATTCGGATAACGTTCAGCGCTCCGAGATCATCATGGACCTGGAGATCTTTTATGCGGGCGATTCACGCATCGAGTGCAGCTTCAGTCGCATGACGGCGGGCATCAAAGACTTTCAGGTGAGTGCGTTTTAGGCACGAATAATAGTTAGGGGACGATGGAAATGAGTCGGTGATGTTGCGTGGTTGGGGATATGACTTGAGTTATATATAAATGACTCCTTGATGTATCCATAATTATCGATTTTACTCGTATAGTGATCAACCGCTCACACTTTCATCTGTTCCACAGCTTCACGGCGTAATGCGTATCGTGTACAAGCCGCTCATCAGCTCGATCCCCATTATCGGAGGCATGCAGCTCTTCTTCCTCAACAACCCGGACATCGACTTCAACATGCTCGGCGTGGCTGATGTGCTCGACATGCCCGGCCTCAGGTGGGTGAACGGGGACGTCGGGAGGGATGGGAGGAGATAGGGTGAAGACGAAGAATAGGATGAGAAGGGTTGGGGCGGGTCCGAGAGGGGGGACGTAGCGATGAGAGATCGGGGGACGGGATGGGAGACCGCGAGTGGTAGTACGAAAAGGCATGAGATGAAAAGAGACAGGGCGGGACGGGGAGGGAGACGTGCAGTACATATGATGAAAGGGGATGGGACGGGAATGGGCCAGACAAGACGGGAATAAGACGGACAGGACGGAAGCGGAAATTTCAGGCGGACAGAGGGAGACTGTCCGGACAGGAATAAAACGGAAGTTACGGGAGACGCCGGACAAATCGGGTAGCGGTCGTATGTGAAAATTTTGAGTGGATTCTGCTAGAATCGGTGGTGACGCCTTGCGAAGCGGGGACGTTGCACGGAACTTTGACGGCTATGGACTGGCGCCAGGCGACGCGGAAGGGTGTGGAGGCCGGTAGCGCTGCGCTAGACGGCTCGGTCGATATTTTGCCGGGACGTTGGCTTCCCTGTCTGTGTTTTCCGGTGTTTGGTCAGCCCGTATAGGATCAGCCTGCCATTTCAGGCAGTCTGCCATGGTTGTCGAAGATTTCCGACAGACAGTAGAACTGACAACTGTTTGTTTTATTGTGTTAGTGCATTACCATATCACTCAAGTCACGTCACCCCGACCAGCGCGAACTACACCCCATCCCCGATCCATGCCCCGGCGTCTGGCCGACATCCTGTACCCACGTGGTGCCGACGTGACCGGCTCCCACGGGGCTGTGACCGTGACTGTGACCGTGACCGTGGCCGTGACTGTGACCGCTCCGGGGACCGCGCTGTGGCGGGAGGGAGAGAACTGGAACGGGAACCCGAGGGAGGGAGGGACCGGAGGGTCGGTCGGTGCTACCGTCTCGATGGGAGGGTGGATGAGGAGATGGGTGGTCCGTCAGCGAAGTGAAATTCTTTTCACGGTTCAGAGAAATACTTGTACGCTGCCTTTTAGCTTCTGACGCCGTTTTTCGAATGATGTTAAGTGGAACCATTTCGTTTTTTGTTTTTGTTTTTTTATTAGTTGCAATTCCTATTGACATTGTCTCTTATTATTTGGCCTCGTGCAGTAATGTAAGCAAGTTTAAGTGCTCACTCGACTTACCTAAACAATGATCTATCATACACTTGACCGAATAAACATGAACCGATCGTCTGTCTCCATCTCCCCAACAGCGGCATCCTGCGCAATGTGATCGTGGACACGATAGCCGCCATGATGGTGCTGCCCAACAAGTGGCCCATCATCCTGTCGGACCAGGTGCCGACCAAGATGGTGACCGCCTCACAGCCAAAGGTAAGACGTAAGACAACGGAGACGTTCCCGCGGACGGAGCCGGCCGGCGGGTGGCTCGGGCGGCTCGGGCGAGCTGTCAAGGTCAGTCAGCTGGTTCAAGGGCAAGCTCCAGGAATTATGGCTAAATGGTCGGGCGATTGTTGGGCCTATGGTGTGTTAAATATGCGGTTTTGGACGCGAAGAAATGTGACGAATTTCTGGTTCTGTAGCTAAAGTGAAATCTCTTCAGGCGTCTCTGTGTCGCCTGTTTTCCTCGGCGCTAAATATCGGCCGCTTTGTGTCGGGTCTGGAATACGAGACCCCACGCCCGGCACCGCCCACACACTGTTTGTGATTCATGGGCCCGACTGGCGAGTCGCAAACGGAAACGCCGCGCTGCACCGGACCCGTGCCGCCGCTATCGAGCCCGCCCCCGCACTCTGCCGGGCCGCTCCGACACTCTGCCGCGTCGTCCCTATGCTCTGTCTCACGGCCCATTCACTCTGCCGGGCTGCTCCGATACTCTGCGCCTCACCGCCACGCCCCCGCACTCTGTCGCGCTGCCCTGATACTCTGCCGGGCTGCCCTAATACTCTGTCGGGCTGCCCTGATACTCTGTCGGGCTGCTCAGATACTCTGTCGGGCTGCTCAGATACTCTGTCACGCACAACAGTCTTGATGAAATGATCTTGATGCTCCGTCGAGCTGCTCCGATACTCTGCCTCACCGCTCCCACACTCTTCCCACTCTAACGATGGCAGTCACGGAATGCGTCGCTCACATGCGACGCCAATGTCATAACCTCGACATCCACTGGTGACCTATCGGCCCCGCCCCAGTCTAGCCGGCGGTGCAGCTGCCGGCATAGCACGTGGCAGCGATGCCCTGTCACGCCTGTTTTGCATGCGATCAGCTGACCCGCCGGCCAGCCCACTGCTGTGGATTCAGTGGGGGAGGGGGGAGGGGAGGGGATGACATCAGCTGGTTCGAGTGTTTGGGTGCCGGGCGCCGGCCGCAACACGCCACACGGTGGAGGCTTCTTGACATGAGGATGCTTCTGTCTGGGAGAGGCTTCGAAACGATTGATGACATATAGTCGTTTGCTGAATTAACGGTTGATTTTAAAAGCAGATTGCGCAATGGACTGAATCACATCACACGCACCCACATTGAATGAGTGGTTTCTTTTTTCCCCTTAAATTTTTGCAGTGATGCACTCATGAAGTTCATTTTTACACGCTACGAAGTACGAATATATAGGCGAGCATATAGGCGCAGAGTGACGCGCTTGAAATCATGGTTGACATAAAAAGTGAAACTGTATTTGCCAGTGATATAAATTACTGGAGTTCCACTCTTTTTATCAGTGGTGGGCGGTGGCTGGGTCTAAGTAGCATGGCATGTCCTGACATGACCTGACCTGACCTGACCCGACCCCACTCAGGGCGTGCTCCGTCTGCGACTCATCGAGGGCAAGGATCTGATGAAGAAGGACCGCAACATCTTCGGCCAGGGCAAGTCCGACCCCTACGCCATCATCTACATCGGCGCCAAGCAGTTCAAGACCAAGTACATCCAGGATACTGTGGATCCTGTCTGGAACTACGTCTGTGAGGTGAGAGCTGATGACGGACGGACGACTGGCAGACTCGGACGGGCGGTACTGGGCCTCGGGGCATGTGACGTCATACTTGGCACGGTGCCAGCGTAGTGGCTGACGACCGGCGCGGCGCACTCAGTCGAAGGTCGAGAAAACCGCACAGAAACAGGAGACGTCCGAGTCGGGAGCGGACGCTATATCGGCTGAGATTAGGAATGTTTTGGGGTATATTTGATGATAACGTCGAGTGGTCATTTCCCGCGGAGGCAGATTCATTAGGTTACGTTTTGTCAAAATATCATTTCACACTCATCACTAGTCACATTTATCATTTATCATTGTGTGCGATCATTTGCTGGGGGTTACCGATCATTTAGCACAAGTCCGAGGTCCTGCTGAGCCAGCCTCTGGACAGTGGACACTCTTCAATATTTCGAATGCTGCACTCACGTGACGGATGAGATAGGTGTTTTAAAACGACATTACCACATGCCGAGATATCCCTTTAACATTAGCACGTGCATTTGGGAAATGGCTTCGGCCCGCCTCGGCTAATGTTGAAGGTATTTGGGAAACGATTCGGCCCTAGGGCTTTTTGATTTTCCCAGACAAAGTTTTACTGAATATTCTGAGCGGAAGAACCAATTTCAAAGAAGATATTTACGGATTGTGTGTTCACTAACAGCAACAGCAAAAGTAAGTGACTGCGTGTTTACATACTTTTGCTGTCAACGTAATTCAACTAAACAAGGTTATCGTTCCAATGCCAATGTATTTATTGCTGCAGAACATGGTCGGAATAATCATTATTTCTACATAATGCACGCAAAAAACGAACAATTTAAATGCGTGAAGCATCTTAGCGTGCCACAATGAAACATTTGATATTGTTCCAGCTGGGATCCAAGACGCGTTTGATTCAGCGTTTCACCCAATTTTTAGTTTTCCTCACGGTTTCCTCACTCCTGCTGGACTCCATATCTTTATTCTAACTTCTGGCGTTTCACCATCTTCATCCTCAGCTTTTTCAAACCCTAAATAAGGGGGAAGTATGAATTTCATCTTTCATACTCAACGCAGCCTAATAATGAAAAACACAAACAAATAATCACGGTGACTAAAAATATGAACATAGTATTAATATAATATTAACACAATATTAAGATTAAAGTGTAAAATATCAAATGAATATGATATTAACTGTTGCGCCAGTACGGCATGTGGTAAATCTCTTCCCAACCTTGGGCTGTGAAAATGCAGTTTTATTCACCTCGGTTTTTTGCTACGGACCTCGTGCCTACCGGCACTCGGTCCTCCGCACAAAAACCTCGGTGAATAAAACGCATTTTCCCAGCCCCGGTCGGGAATATATAAAGTTATTCGAGGCTTGTTTCACCAAAAAGCTCATTACACACTGGCGATTATTTTTGGGCAAAACTGGTGCTTTCTTTGATTGGATTCATTCAGCGTTGAGGGCATGCGTTGAAGTTGAAGACGCCCTACTCGGCTAGTCATGATCACCCCTTACAGGTTATCCAAAGGGATATAATCATTTTGCCAGCCGCAATTCCCCTGTAAATTTTATCCGGTGTAAATGTAGGTAGGTGCCCTCAGTATCTCACCGCAGTCGTGTGTAATGTTTTGCTGTGCTGGCAGAAGCCACTGCCCAATCAGTTGGCTGTCTCTCCGTGCTACCTGACTCAGTTGTGGGGGATGTTCGTTCCAATTCGTGCTGTCGTGGAGGCACACTATGTAGTGTACTGTTGTGTGCTTCGGACCAGTGATGTCAATTACAGAAAATCGGAATACCGATACCAAACCAAATACCAACCAAAGCCACGGGAAAATACGAAAACCAAACCAACTTGGGAAAATGAGGGAAATACCAACTTTTTTTTTACCGATTTCTTAGCCTCTTATACATTTGTGAGGGTTTATGATACCAACAAAATACCAAACACATTACGATTGAAATACCAAATACCAAGTTGGTATCGGTTTGGTATCGGTATACCAAAAAGTTGGTATCCGATTGACATCTCTACTTCGGACATTTGTCCGTCATCCTATTCAGTCCCAAAGCAGCCAGTAAGCTTCGCGGCTACGTATGCAAGATCATCACACGTCATTTATAACCGAGACGTCGACGTTTGCAATATTTTCATTGATTACCTAGTCGCTGATATGTCAAATATTAACTTTGTTGTTACGAATGTCTGGTTAGCATTCCAATAGTCATGAAAGTAGCCCAGCGTACTCTTTCATCGAAATCTGAGAAATCTGGCACACTGCTGATATCCCTGATAACCAAACGACGGCGTTTGACCTCAGATGTCTACCACCTCACCTTTCTCACCTCTTGCGTCCCGTCCGCGTGTGTCTGTGTGCCGTGTCTGTCTGTACTTGTACTGTCTGAGCTACCACGTGGCGCCACGTGGCTCGCCCGTGTGCCGTGCCGTGCCGCCGTGCCGTGCCGTGCCGTGCCGTGCCTCTGACCTGCCCTCTGCGCCCGGGTCAGTTTGCCCTGCTTGAGTCGGTGGGTCCGCGACTGTGGGTGGAGCTCTCCGATTCCGATGATCCCGGCAACAAAGATGATAACCTGGGCAGGTGAGACCCCGCCCCCCGGGCCGCAGAGCGACTCGTCACGAGCTTCTGGATGTGGACTGCACGCCGACTCTGAGAGCTGCAGACTCTCACTCTCTCTCCGCCTTTGTCTGCCTCTGTCTCTAGCTCTGAAAGACTATTGGATGCTGTCTGTCTCTAGCTTGTCCGCTTGTTTCTCTCAGTGTCGCCGTTTCTTTTTTCTTCATGTCATAACTAACCCACTCTCTCAACCGATATGAATTGCGGCGAGACGTGTGATCCTGCTCCGTACCGTCTACCTCCGCTGAACCTCACCCGAGACCAGTCTGTCCCGCTCAGCTACTCAATCCACCTCGCAGATCATTATGGAGCACGTAAGCGGTACACACGTCAACTTCGCCGTAGCTGATGACGACAACGGGCCGTCGGATGACGAGTCGCTGGGAAGGTAACGCCCGCAGAGGGCGTCGGGGTGTCCGTCCGGAACTCGGGGTGTCCGGAGTTGTCCGGACATATCCGGAGCAGCTCGGGAGCTTCGTAATGTTTCCGCAGTTATTACGTCCGGAGCTGGGGGATGTCTGGCTGGCGTTTAGTGTTTCTGTTGGGGTGTCTTGCATTTGGGGTTTGTCCGTTTCGGTGCATCGGTCATGCCTTGATGAAATGTCTACGGCTTTAACTCTGCGTTTGGGAGGCGTCCATAGTTTTGTTTATAGTGTTTATCCATTGTCTTGGTGTCTTGATATTGGTCTTGATATCCATACGTTCACCTATCATGTCTTGCTACTGTGGGATTTGCACTGTGCAACTGCAACTACCCGTACCCTTGATAGCGTCATCCAGTGGCCAGTGCTGAGTAGTGAGAGCCGCTATTAATTCGGTGTAGTTTTGGACATTTGTGGGACTTTAAACCCACTGCGATGCAAACCGTTGGTCATTTTCTGCCATGCTTGCTGGTTTTTTTTTTTTTTTGTTCGGAATGACGCGTTACTTACCAGTATAGCGCCTTTTGGGGCGACTAACGGAGCGAGCGAGGGGGTGAGTCTTGCACGTGCGAAATTTCGAGGGGGTACCTCCAACTGACTTGTGCACGGCACCCTACTGACCGGTTTCTAGCGATGTGCCAAATTTGAGCACAATCGGCCCAGCCGTTCTCGAGATCTGGGAGCGGCACCCTGCACGTGCGCACGTGCTAAATGGGTTCCAACTGACTTGTGCACGGCACCCTACTAACTGGTCCCTAACCGTGTACCAAATTTGAGCGCCATCGGTCCAGCCGTTCTCGAGATCTGGAAACGACCCCTGCACGTGCGCACGTGCAGCAGCACCCCAACTCTGGCACATGGATATGCAGTGCCTAGTGGGTGCCTACCTACATGCCAACTTTAAGCGCAATCGGCCAAGTAGTTACCGAGATATTGCAACAATTACAAAAGTGACACCTCTTCGTTTTGCACGTGGCACGTGCATAAGGGGTCACCCACATGCATCGGGAATAGTCCAATACTTGGTAGAAGGAATGAAGCTACCCTACAAAAATTACCGCATGTAAATCGGTCAAGTGGTTGCTGAGATATAAGCGTCGCAAAAGCGTGACCACGGCCGGCCGGCCGGCCGGCCGGCCGGCCGGCCGCTCATACTCAGAAATTTCCGTTAATCTAAGGAAAGACTACGCTCGCTTCGCTCGCTCCGTAACAAGACACTGATGTTGCTGGCCGGGAAATACGGCGAAATATTAACCTTTGTGGGCTCTCAGACGGTAACTAATCAAATTGCAAAAAAAAATATATATATATTTGACTAGATGATGCATGGTTTGCTTTTCCACCAGATATTTATTGTGCAAGCCCCTCTCATCATGTATGTAGGCTTTTAGATGCTAGCGTTATCAATGTTGCTCCGAGAAGATGACACAGCCTGCAGTTAAGTTTATTGTTCCTGGGTAATTGTTACTATACGGTCCCATATCCAGCTGACCTAAGACTAGATTTATTCATTTTTTTTAATTAGCGTCGTTTTAGTCGTTGAGAGGTGGCGAGCATTGCTGCTAGAAAATTCATGTGTGAGACTGAGTACTTAAGTTTGCGTCGATGAGTGTCATAGTTCGCTTACCGTTTTGTCACCCCATGCAGTCACCATTCCCTTCGTGCGCGCTGTGCACCATTAACACCTTTATCTGGTTGCGCTCCGATAACCCCGTGGCCCTGACGGTTTATGGCTCGCGAGCAGCGCGCGTGGGCAGTGGGCCAAAACAGGCGCAGTGCATGCGTCCGCTGGCGCTGGCGCTCAGGCCGAGCTGGGTCCGGGGGACCTGAGTTCATATCCGGTGACCGAGTCGCGAATGTCCGCTAATCAGAAATAGCGCTTGTGGAGGCGGTTAAGACGGTGCTGTTAATGCCGTCAGCGATACGATATGTGTTTGGGTGTTAGTAACTCCACCGGCAGGGCCATGCTGGGATGTGTGCAAATTACTTGGTACGGACTAAACTGATAGTACAGACCACGTTAGTCTAACAGATTCGGGTGGGTCCTGATTTCTCTGGAGGGCGGATTTATAAGAGGACGACGTTTCTTAACCCTCGCCCGCACATGCCATTTTCCCATCCTAGAACGCACATGGGGGGGGGGGTTGCCACCCCCGCGCCATTTCGTTCCTGTTGGAGATAGAGCTTAGCGGTAAAGACCAAAAAGATGCTTTGGGAAGAGACGAATCCAATGATACCCAGTTTTACCTTCTCAGCTCAGTCATTGACCTTCCAGGTCAGGTCAAACTAAAAAATGTTGCTGTTTTGGATCACCGTTTGATATCAAGTGCGCTGCTTATCAAATACCGATGACGATGCTGTTTTCTTGTGCCAAGCCAGCTAGAACCTCTTTGTCACACTACCCGACCAGAATATTGCTGCTGAGGTCATTTCAGGTCAAGTTAGGTCAAGGTCAATTATATGTGTTTGTATGTCTGTTGTTGGTCTGTCTGCCGTCTTTGGCGCATCAGCTACACGTATCTGGCATACGGATTGTCTGGATCTGTCTGTGGCTGTCTGTGACTGTCTTCGAAGTTCGAACGCCTTTGGTGATGCACCAGCTCTGTCTGGCAGCCAGACTGTCTGGAGCTGGCTGTGACTGTCTGGCTGTCTGTGGCTGTCTGTGGCTGTCTGCCAACGCTGTCGGTGACGCACCAGCTCTGTCTGGCAGACTGACTGTCTGGAGCTGGCTGTGACTGTCTGGCTGTCTGTGGCTGTCTGTGGCTGTCTGCCAACGCTGTCGGTGACGCACCAGCTCTGTCTGGCAGACTGACTGTCTGGAGCTGGCTGTGACTGTCTGGCTGTCTGTGGCTGGCTGCCAACGCCGTCGGTGACGCACCAGCTCTGTCTGGCAGACTGACTGTCTGGAGCGCGATGGCATTCAGCTGCGCCTCGAGCTCTGGGACTGGGACGCCAGCAGCCTGGCAAAGGACGATTTCCTGGGCAGGTACCGGTGGCATGCGCGCGGGTCGGGTCGGGTCGGGTGGCACAGCGCTGCATACAGGCCGGACGGCGGTCCTCCCCGGACACTGCACTGTGTACTGAGGCGGCGCCACGGCCGCGAAACACTGTACAGAGCGGCGGCGCACTTCACTAGGGGACTGCGGCGGCCCGGCCCGGCCCGGTCCGGTCCGCAGCACGCGCTGGGCTGGTCCCGTGCCGAGCGAGCGGTCCAGTCTGGTCCGTTTGGCGTGGTTTGATTCGTCCGGCTTGGTCCAGTCGGGGTCGCGGGCTTGCTGGGATGTGTACTGTAGTTTTGTGGCGTGCTGTCCCCGGACAGATGGGTCCAGTAACTGAGGTGTTTTTGTTTAGTTTGTCTGGCTTGATGTGGATTCTAATGTAACCTTTAGCGTGCGTTTACAGATTCCCTGCGTTGTTTTGCCTTAGTTTTTTGTTTTCAGCCGGTGTTCGCTGCTGCAACTACCCGACTACCAAGGAATCCAAACACGACACAGTCACAGTGCTTCGCTTACTGTAATGTGATGATGCTCTATTTTATGCATCTAACGTGTACAGATCGAGTTATCATAATAACTCAGTAATGTATTTTCTGGACCATGTGGTATTTAATGCCAAGACTCATTTAGTACCAGTAATGTCGAAATCAATACCTATAACATCATGCAAATGTATCCTGAAGACGTCTTTATCCTCTTTGAAAATCCTCATAATTATCCGCTTCAGGGCTGAATCTTCCTTTTCAGGAATTATCCTATTCAGGACTCGTCCAGCCCGGTTTTAACCTCCCGAGCGTCCTCTGACTTCTGCAGCGCCATTCATTACTAACCTTTCCAGCGTCCCTCTGCGGCTCTGTCCATAACCTCTGTCGTCTCCAACCCATTTCTAACCTCCCTAGCACCAATTTCTAGCACAATGCTGTCACCTTTCTGGCTTCCCTTTGTGTCCTACCTCTCTAGCGCCTGTCCTTGTGTAAAGGGCGAATGCTAAAACTGGTGCCGTCTTCAACCTCTGTCTAACCTCTCCAACACCCGTCTCTAACTTCTCAAGCGCCGGTTCTTAACCTCTTCAGTTTCCAGTACCTGCGTCTAACGTCTCCAACACCCGTCTCTAACTTCTCAAGCGCCGGTTCTTAACCTCTTCAGTTTCCAGTACCTGCGTCTAACGTCTCCAACACCCGTCTCTAACTTCTCCAGCGCCTGTGTCTAACCTCTCCCGTCTCCAGCGCCTGTGTCTAACCTCTCCGTCTCCAGCGCCCGCCTCTAACCCCTCCAGCACCCGCGCCTAACCTATCCAGCGCTCGCCTCTAACCTCTCCCGTCTCTAGCACCCGTCTCTAACCCCTCCAATCTCCGGCACCCGCGCCTAACCTCTCCAGCGCCCATCCTTGTCCACCAGGGCGACTGCGACTCCCACTTCCGAGTGCAGATCACCCTGTACGACTACGACCGGGGCCGCACCGACGAGCCGCTCGGAGGGTACGTCCTCTCCGCCGCTCGATCCTGCCTCACTTTCCTTTAACCATTTAACTCAGCAGGACCAGTTGCGCCCTATCCTTTCTTGCTCCCATAAATTATTATCTCTGGCATCTTATTTATTGATTATTTCAGCTCGAATGCGAACTAGGTTTTGCTTAGTTATTTCGATATATGCTACAGCTCCCTTTATTCGGTTATTCTGAGATCCTGCTGTTTCATTTATGTTTCTATCCCTTTACACTGAGTTGATGTTGAACATCCTAGAAATTCGTCGTCTGTTTACCTCTCAGCGCACTGACTGTAGCGTTTCCGTCTGATCTATCTGCTTTTTATCTCTGCTGAGATTGTTGTTACGCTTTCGTCCCGTATGTAAACCCCAAATGTTTTTGACTTCAACATGCATGCCTTACTATCATACTTTGACCCAATTGCATGCTTCTTTCTGCTTGTGTTGTGGGTGATTTGGGCTGCATTATTCGATTCAGCGATTGATACAAGTATGTGATTGATCTCACTTTTATATAAACACGATTATGCTAAGTGTACAAACGCACTGCTTGTTTTTATAGTTGCACTTGTGACTGTACGAGCTTTGTATATCGATTACTTGTTGCATAATGCATATCATTGATAACGTCGGTCGCTTGTCGCTTCCATGGAAAGTCAGTAATTTGTCAAACTTTGTCTAGCTACTCATTAGGACGACTAGTTAATTGTTTCACTATCGAGTTTCTTAAAAGTCTTGTTCATTGACGAAAAGAGTTGTTACCGTCTTTTCTCATAATTTGTCCGGTCCGACTGCGGTCACGTTTGGGATGTGGTATGACTCCTAACCCTGTCCCAGGTGCGGTCTGGATGTGGCAGACATCGCCAAGGCTGGATCCCAGGACTTGGTGAGTCGTAGTCGACCTCAAGTCCCATCGAGGCAGGCGGAGTTTGACGAGAGCCGAAGCAGTCGACGAAGCAGGCAAAACTTTGCTCCTGTTACCTCCAATAAAGGCTCCAATCATTTGTATATTTACGTTGACGTAATTGAAAAAGCTAGAGCCTTAGTACAGACATAACATACCTGCAGCAGGTAGAGTAGCAGCAGTAGCAGTAGCAGTGTAGAGTAGCAGCTACTCTCTCATCTTAAGTGTCTAAAGAAATTGCCAGAGTTATTTCACGTCCTACACTACTCTGTGCCTACCCTCACATTGGCTGACTGATGTTCCGTGCTCTTGCCGTCTAACCCCGCTCGTTGCCGTTTTCAGTGAGTGCTTCTGGAGCAGGTCCGTATGGTGGCAGAACTTGCCTACCCTCACAGTCGCTGGATAAGGTTTTGTGCTGCCGTTTAACCCCGTTTGGTGCCGTTTATAGTGGGTTCCCCTGGAGCAGGCCCGCAGTGGCAGGATCCACCTGAAGCTCGACTGGCTCAGCCTGTCGACAAACGTGGCTGATATCAAAAAGGTAGGCGACCGTCTCATCATCTGAACGACTTTGTATCCACGAGACCTTGGACTCGTAAATGTGAAATATATCACATCATGTATTGTACACTAATATCAGTACTTTCTTATGTGTATCATTGAACAATGATCGTGTTAAAATGGTTTTAGTTTTTTTTGTGAGCATTTGCGACACGGCTATCCAAAACTCGGTAGTATTGCGCTTTCCCGCTAAATGGTCAATATCGAGACTCACTGACGATGTCCCGCTTGTTTCTCTAGCAACTGAACGAGATCGAGGACCTGTCTGCGTTCGACCACTCCGGCCTGCACTCGGCAGTGCTGACCGTGTTTGTCGACTCGGCCAAAAAACTGCCGGTGGGTGGGGCTGTGCCAGGGTATCTTAGACGCTCCGTCAGAATTACACTAGCTTGACTCGGATATTCAGTAACAGATGAAGCTTACTAACTATATGTAGTTCGACTGATAGTATACCGTTGGGTAAATATTGTCCTGCATTTACTTGTTTTACGACGAAGCTTTATGTTACAGTCCTTGCCGCAGACTTCTTCCTACCAACATCAATGTATTTCTTTTGCTTCATGCAACCGTGACTTGTGACTACGTTTACGTTACCTACTGTCAGCCAAATATCCCCTTTCACCACATGTATGTGCACGCTTAATTCACCGCGTGTCCCACAGATGGCGTCGCGGGCGGTGGAGCCCGACCCGCTGGTGCGTCTGGTGCTGGGTAACCAGAAGGAGGCCACCTCGTGCAAGTACCGCACCCTGGACCCCGTCTGGGAGGAGGGCTTCAGTTTCCTCGTCAAGAACCCGCTCACGCAGACCATGACTCTGGAGGTAGGCGCACACGCAGACCATGACTCTGGAGGTAGGTGCACACGCAGATCATGACTCTGGAGGTAGGCGCACACACAGACCATGACTCTGGAGGTAGGCAACTAGGCAGGCACGCTACAGAACGAGGTGGGATGGTAAAAATGGGCAGTAACGGCCTTTCGGCCGAAGGAGGGTATGGCAGAAAACATTTCGTTTTATAGCTGTGTGCTTTCTTTTTTCGTGTCTGTTTTCGCAGCTGTATGTCGGTCTGGGGGTTTTAAAGTTGGTTTTTTCGTGCGTTAGGCACCGACTTCAATTCCGCTTATAAGTATTACTTCGCTAGGTAATGGTTAAATCTCAGATGACTTCTGATTACCACACGAAATGTTCCTTGCCATGGTTGCCTTCAGTCTTCCGACATTACATGGCTTCGTATCCCCGTCATTTTCATGTCTCGCTCGTCGTGGCATTTTAACACTCGTCTCTGCTCCGTCTCAGGTGGAGGACCAGAGCTCTGGTAAGTCGCTGGGCTCGATGCAGCTGGAGCTGAAGTCGCTGCTCCGAGAGGCGGATCTGTCTGTGACCGAGCAGCCGCACACCCTGTACAACTCGGGCCCGCAGTCCAAGGTGGTGCTCTCCATTCAGCTGAGGGTGAGTTGATAGTCACTGTGCGCGATGGTGAGGGTAGAGGTCGGCGTGGAAGGCATTGGTGATGATGCTAGTGATGTTATTGGGGGAGGGGAACGCAAACTTTGTTTATCGTGGCTGTAAGGAGGAATTTGAGCTTGGGTAGAATCAGTTTTTATAGGTGCGACGGCTTAGCAACAATATGTACAGCTTAGCAAAGAGACGCTGTAATCTTATGTTGGTGATATTTTTGTGGTTAAGAGTTATCGTAAACCAACTATTCTAGCGCATTATTTGCAGACTCTTGTGCGCCTGTTTTTACAGATTTTGACCCACGACAAGGTGGCACCCGAGGACCTCGAGGGAAAGATACCGTCAGCGATGCCGCTGCGTCCGGTGGCTCCGGCCCCGCCGCCGGCCGCCAAACCAGGTGAGGCCGCCACATCAGCGGCGGCGCCGAGTGAGGCTGTTCAACGACAGAATATGGGAGAGGGGCTGGTGGGAGTCGGGGTTGGGTGGGTCGCCTTTCAGCCCTATGTTGAGTGCACATAGATTATTGCAGTGCCCGTTACCTCTAAATTTTGCGTCTTAGTCTTACGTCTTAGTCTTACGTCTGAGTTTCGGCACTTCTTCCATGCTTCCTGATTTCTGATTGTTTTTTTTTTTTATTCCTGTGTGATGGCTGAAACGCTGTGTTCCTTTTTCCTCTGCCAGGAACAAGTCGACCCAAGAAGGAATAGGTGTCCGGAATCCGATCCTGCGGCCCGCTACCGCCAATCCTGCTGATCCTACCGTCCTGTTCCGGCCCTACTCCTGGCACCGCTGTGTTCCGTCATCCACGGCGCGTCCTGCTCACCGAAAGTCATCACGTCCCGTCATCGACGTCATCGAAGACGTGATCACCATTGTCATCCCTCATCGCGTCGTCTTTTCCGTGTGATCTTCGTTGTTGATGTTGTCGACTATCCGCGCTCTGTGAATAATCAATCATGCTAGATAGTGGTTTTGTTCCTTTTGCTCCCATTTCGTCCAAATTATCAGTGCCGCCAATGCTCTCAGTGTCCCAGCTCAATCCCGTAAGTATTTATTTTTTGAAAATTACTATTTTTCGTTAACTGAAAAATGAACTTTTAGCAAATGATTCCATTGTGCAGTATCTCACCATTTACTGCCGATATTAACATCTCATTGTTATGATTAAACCTTAAAACTTAGCTGTAGAACTTCTTACATGTTAAGTGTTTACCATTATGTACTCACACTAACTCACCACTCTTATGCTGCACAGTGCACACTGCACACCTTCCGCCGCTCGTCTCGGTAACCCTCTGTCTCCCTTATACTCCGATCTTGCAGACACGGACCCAGTGTTACACTTCCCTGCTCAGTAACCCACTGTCTGTCTCCCCCAGACACTGACGCGGCCTCCGGTAAGACTGCCGACCCCGCCCAGCCGACTGCCGTGCCTGACCCGACCCCGGCCGTGCCCAAACCGGCCGCCAAGACGGATGACGTGCCGCCGTCGCCGCCCAGCCCCGTCAAAAAGGAGACCAAGAAGAGGGAGTCCAAGGTGGAGCCCGTGCCGGCTGAGGTGAGTGAACTTTACACATCCGCATGGTAGTGAGTGAGTTATTGTAAAATATGCAATGTTTATATTACGTCCCCAGTATCACTGCAATCCATCCCCAGACTCTTGATGGGAGAGGAGGTGGAGACCCTGATTACCGTCCGCTCTGGCGCATTTTTCCGTCGTGGCCACCCCAGATCCGTGAGAGGATGAACAGACATCACTGCTCCCACCTGACAAACCTTCCCCTCCTTCCCTTGTGACCACCACAAAACAGCTAGGAAGCTGAGTCCCTATCGAGCGTACCCTCGCTAATTTGCTGTTAATTCCACTATCTCCCTCAGACCCGTGAGGAGGTGGTGATGGTAATCCAGGATATGTCCCCAATCAGCTGAAGTAGGTATCCCTTGCTGACCCCCCTAATCTCTCCTTTAGACCCGCGAGGAGGTGGAGAAGCTGTTCCAGAACCTGTCGTTTGGCGTTCTCTCACTATACCCCCTCCCCCTCCCCCTCAGACCCGCGAGGAGGTGGAGACGCTGCTCCAGGACCTGTCCACCGACTCACCGGTCACAGAGACGTCCGGACTGAGGCAGCGCAAACCGGAAAAGTCAGTACTGCTAACGGAATGAATAGTTTACCATCGAGCTCGGATAGTGGGGAGCTGGATCTCTCTTATTGCCTACTTTGCGAAATTGAATTACTTTTTTAACGTGCTGCTGAAGATCTGGCTGAGATGTGCCATTGCCACCTAATTATTCATGTCATTTTTATGTTCACAAAGCATTACTAGCGCGACATGAATTCGTTTCACTCCAGTAAAATTGTTTTGTCTACTCTACTAAGAGATTGATTGATATGCAAAATCCCAGTAAGCTTCCACGATGACAAGGAATATATCGATAAATGTAAAGGCTGAACGACGTATTGACGCTGTTTCCTCCTTATTCTCCAGTCCTGCGGGTGCGGACCGTCTGGGTCGGATCCAGCTGACCCTGCGGTACAGTACCACCCGCGGACGGCTCGTCATCACCGTGCACAAAGTGGCGTGAGTACAGCAGCGATTTTAACATTTGGGAGTGGACCGTTCTCTTCTTACTGCGTGGTAGGTTCTCTTTTTTACGATAAAACTGGGGATATTCCTGTACGGAGTAAGAAGAGAGGTTACGTTCATAGTGCATTTTATGGTTTTGGGAGAAATTGTAGTGCTCGTTTGTGTGAAAAAATGAAGAAGGCGCGTGGCGGGAATTGTATCTAAGGTGACAGTTGGTGTCTGTAGGCTGTGTTGCGAAATGTATTGCTCCAAAATGTCCTGTTGGAGGGTGGTCATGTTACGGACAGGGACTGTATCGTATGCTTGCTTTCCAGGAACCTACCCATGCAGGGTGACGACATCCCTGATCCGTACGTCAAGACGTACTTGCTGCCGGACAAATCGGAGAGCAACAAACGGAAGACTCAGGTGAGACACATATCACTTTCATAAGCACATATTTTATTGCAGTTCATTCGCGTTCTGATGCTGTGCCTCTAGCTGGAATTCATCACTTACCTTGCCGGCGTCTTTGTCGTCTTTCACAAGCAAAGTTTATTCTTGTTTTCAGACATTCAAGGACAACTGCAATCCCGTCTACGATGAAACCCTGGAGTATGACGGCTCTCTGAACGAGACCCGCATCCGCACACTGGAGGTGCTCGTCGTCAGCAAGAAGTCGTTCGCGCGAAACCCCGTGCTCGGAATGGTGAGGATAAACTCGAAGGGAACGCAAATGGTATTGTCTGGTCTGTTGTTACACTTACGGGAGTAGCGCTATTTGACTTATTAACTCTTATTTCAACTTAAAGCTTTAGTAAATGGTTTAATGACACAACGTCTTTGAAAGCAAGGAAGTGCTGGATTGTGTGTGTGCTTATTTTGCCGTGCCGAGATGTTTTTTTTTTTCTTGTCTGCTGTTGGGCGTATAAAGGCCGATACAGCACCTTTTGTGGCAGTGATTTATTTGTTATTTCGTGTGTCCAACAATTCCCCGCCTCTCCCCCAGAAACACATTGACCTGCGCGGAGTGAACCTGGAGGTGGGAACCACCGAGTGGTTCGACCTGGAGCCGGAGGAGCGATTCGACTCGTAGGTGGCGCGTGGGGTGTGGGCTGACGCGCCGGCCGCCGCCGCCGGCGCCGTGCCTCGGTGTGTGTGGTGCTGCGTCTCCCTCCCTCCCCTCCACAGCTGTACATGTGCGGGCGTCCTTTGGGTGCCAGCCGATGGTGTCAGCCGGGCTGTTCCGGCTCTGCTGCTTGGTCTAACTCACGGCGTTGTCCAGTCTGCCGCCGCCGCCGCCGCCGCCGCCGGGCAGGCGGAGGGCGGTCGGCGCAGTCCGTTAGTGCTTTCCTCTCGGCCACTGGCGCCTAGGCTGGTGCTAGCTGGTGCTGGTCCGTCCTGGTTGGTTTTGCGTGGTGAGGTCGGGGTGTGGCTTCTCTCACCTCTTTGTGACACTGCATGCTCGGGCGCTTAAGGTGCGGTCCGCTTGGCTTCTGGCGTGGTGCTAGGGTTTGTGGTGGCGATTCAAGTTCGTCCCTTCACAGTCGTTTCTCTGGTCGAATGTCAGGCGGCTCCGAACTGCCCTCTCAGCTCTCTAGTTTGACGCCCTGTCACTGTGATGTCAACTCTGCCAGTCCGCCCGGCGCCGGACGGTGTCGCGACGCTGGCTCACTCACTCTCTCCCTCCCTCTCTCCCCTCTCTCTCTCGGCGCGCAGTCACCGGCGCGGCCTGTTGCATGCGATCACCACTCCGCTGCTCGGTCGGCGGAGGCGCAGCCACGGCTATTCGTCCTCTGGTTCAGCAGACTCCAACGCTAAACACAACGGCAAGAGCGCCGCACTGAGACGTGCGAAAAAGTCGTGATGTCGCCTGGAACTGTTCGATGATGGTGACCTCACTTCACGGGCGTGATAGGTGCCGCATGTCTGGTGACTGAGAAAAAAGGCGGCTGTTTCAAACTAAATGATGTACACCGGCTGGAACGCTGCTTTTTCACAATCTGCCGAGAGCAGTATCGATTAAAGTGCCTCGCGCTCAGCTGCTGTCGCGACTCGCTGTTCGGTGGGCTCTCTATTTACGGGTGCAGCATCTCTGGCACGTGTGGCCTTCTACTAGTGCCGTGGACTGACTTGGTTACGGAACTGTTGCTCTCTACTGCAGGCGCGGCCCTGTCCGCCTCAGCTAGGGCTGGAGGCGACTGAACTAGCACAGCTTGGCTTCCGTCCTTCCTCGTGTTGTTAGTGCCTGGCAGAGGCGACGGCCTGCCGACTTGTTTTTCGAGACTAGTCCGGGTCGAAGTGACCCCTGTTGTTCTTACCGCTCTATGTAGTGATCTTTGTGAATGAGTGGTGTGGAACAGATCTGGACGAGCAAAGCCAACCAGGTGTAGAATAATCTATCTGCAATCTTACTTGTTAACAGAGTTGTATTGTAACTTGCTTGTCTTAATACACATTTTAGTGCAAAATTTGGTTTGTTGGGGTATTGGATGCGAATGGAATGAACACCTATGGAAGTAACGCTCCTAGAAAACTTTCTATAACAAAGTGATCGACGGGGTGTGCTACATATACTTTCTTCAGGACTTTCTGCAATTAACGTGGGCAGCTGCCGACGTTACCCTTGCATCTCTGCACGCATCGTAGTACCTGCACACTAATTTCCATGGGGTATAACGATAACTGTTGATTTGGCTGACAATTTTAGAGGCTCGTTACATATGTTACTCGAACCGATACCAAAGCTTCGAAAAAAAAAACCCTCCAGACACTACTTTGCGCCCGCTTCAGCCCTCCTTTCTGCTATATTTTTATCTTGCCAGTGCCTGGCTCGGGGAGACCTGCTCGTATGACGCTACAGGTTGCCACTGAGACTGCTGTAAATACTAACCGCTGATAGCTCTTCTTCTGCTGGCCGACGGCAGGGGCATGCGGACTGCCTTCCCTGGTAGGAAACTCGGCCCATCCCGGTAGAACAGGTGAGATTGCGCCGAGTGACTGCCTGTGACAGTTAGTTACCCCTACGGCGGCGGCGGCGGCGGCGGCTGCGAACTCCACAGTCTTAGTTACGAATAATTATGAACTCTGGACTCTTCACAACAGCGTGCTGAGTGCTCTTACTTGTTTATCACTGGCAGTTCATTTTTAGACTCCAACTTACCGTCAGCAAATGCCTTCCCTATTCACTAAGGCTACCTTTGGGGCACCCTAAACACCAAGCACCATTAATGATGAAGTCTCAGTGCATGTGCGTGCATTACACCCCGCCCGCCCCTCTGCCTGCTCTATCGTTCCGTGAACGTGTGCCGCAGTTCGGAAGACCAGACAGAGTACGACCCGTACAGCTCGGTCGGCTCCAAGGGCAGGGCGTCGCCGCCCAGTCCCGTCAGGAAGGACTCGAAGCGGGAGAAGAAGGTGGAGGTGGTCCCCGCACAGGTAGGAAACGGAAGAAATCTGAAGCTGCCGCTGATGTTGAAATGAATTTTATTTTAGGAGGTCCGGGAGACTAAAATGCTGGTCAAAATCTACTGTGTCCGTTTTTCTGATTTGTGCTTGTTCGGACGAACAGGTTAGTGACGTGTAAACACTGATTCGGTCATGTCATGAGGCATGCACGACCGGCTTGCGGTTGAATGACGCAGCTAAGCTGCTGATAGCGTTGGCTCTATGCTACGGATACCGATCACAATTACGTCATAGTGGTTAAGCCGATTAGCTCCCATTGTCAGTTTGAAGGTACGGCTGGTGAGCTCAAACTCCTCGTTAAATCCCAGATCCGAATTGGCTCATGACTCCCTCAGCTCTTCCCACGTCCGCCTCAGTAGCTCCTATAGAAGGTCCACTTCAATAGCTCATCTGATTCTCGATTGGATGGTTGGTAGGACCTGCACCACAACTTTCGTTTAGCATCGAGATTTTGAACATCCCCAGGAAAGTCGTACTATCTCACAAAAATAATAAGCATCGATACGCCCACAAGATCAAGCTGTCTGTTGTCGGTTTTTATTGATAGCTGTTCGTTCTGGCAGGACCGGGAGGATGTAAACGCTCTCATCCGAGAGCTGTCCTCCGACCGGCCGACCTCCGAGGCCCCGGCGCCCGCCGAAAAGTGAGTTCACTGTCGAGGGGTACCGTCCCTGGGCGGGATGCTTGGTAAGGGTATCGGAAGGCTTCCACGGGTAGGACAAGAGTACGGAAAAGATCACAGGGTACCACGTGAATAGATTGAGCCAACATGCGAGAGAAAATGGTCGTTTTCTGTTTGATTCTTGAGTTTGCTACGTTTCTAACTTTCTTTTACGCTTTGGAGCTAATCTAAATTACATTATTTTGGCATAATACCTATCAGTTCACGTTTGATGCAGTCTGTTCGTCTTGCTTTCCCAAGCATTTGTGATGTCGCGACTGTCCTCTCACCCATCCCTGCTGTTACGGTCCGTCGCCTACCTCGCCCACCCCTCGTTTCCCACCCTCCACAGGTCGGCCGGCGCGTACGACTGGGTCGTGCTGTCCTCTCACCCACTCCCTGTCCTCACAGTCACCTATCACCTGTCTCACCTCTGACCCACCCTCCACAGGTCAGCCGGGGCGGACGGCCTGGGTCGCGTGCAGCGACTCTCCGCTACAGCGACACCAGAGAGGCGGTGCTGGTCACCGTACACCGGGCGGCGTGAGTAGGGGAAGGGTCGGCGTCCGGGGACTGGCGGCGGAGGAATACGACTGTTATTTAAATACTATGATATTCACGTAACTGACGGGTGCTTTTCTACTAGTTCACTTGTAATATTTTGTGCCAGGTGTGGTCCTTTTATTTTATGTCTTTCTCAGTTTAGTTACTCTTGCACATTATGATGGTGTGACTGATGGAGTGACACATTATGACTCTTGCACATTTTTATACCGTCTCACGCAATTATCACGTTTTATGCGTTTTACGCAGGTTGTGGTCGTGACCATTTATATTCGTTTCGAACATGCTCGTCTATCCAATAAAAAACAAAACTATTGAATCTGGCAAATGTTTTCTCAACCGACTATAGAGAATGGACTGGACTTATCGTGTGTTTTATTAAGGCGATATTTTGAGTCTGATCACCTGGGCTGTGTCCACAGGAACCTGCCTATGCAGGGTGACGACATCCCCGATCCGTACGTCAAGACGTACCTGCTGCCGGATAGATCGGAGAAGAACAAACGGAAAACGGAGGTAGGGATGACGCCTTATCGAAATGCCCAGGGATTGGAGGTCGTTTGTAACCGTATTGCTTTCATGATTGGGGGTTCAAATAGATTCATCATAGAATTTGTGTGGGTTATATTTTGTATACCTACGTTGTAATGTCTTGCATCGTCAAAGCTTATTCGAAACACTGACCTCCAGAAACTATTCTTCCTCCAGAAACTGACGGACAACTGTGACCCGGTGTATGAGGAGACGTTTGAATACAAAGGTCCGCTAGGCGAGGCCCAGCTCCGCACACTGGAGGTGCTCGTCGTCAGCAAGAAAACGTTCGCCAGGAACCCCGTCATCGGAATGGTGAGCTGATGACGTTTTTGAAGAAAGCACGTCTGAATGAGATTTTGCGTCGGATCTGTCTTTCTTCATTAATTTTGCCTATCTAAAAGTGATGTTTACATTACATTCGTACTTTGTTTCTCCCTCAGAAACACATTGACCTGCGCGGAGTAAACCTGGAGGCGGGAACCACCGAGTGGTTCGACCTGGAGCCGGAGGAGCGGTTCGACTCGTAAGTTGACTGCCCTCACACTTTGTCATTGTTTTTGGTGCTTCAGCTTACGCTACAATGACACTTGAACTGTTGTAATAGAACACTTCGTATATGCAAGCAATGCGCTGTGTTTCCATCATGCCTCATGTTGCCACAACTACTTGCAATGGCTGACAGCAGTTTCTTTGCTCGGCAGCTCGCACCCGAAGCCCGCAGCAGTGCCGGAGCCGAAGCCCGCGGCAGTGCCGGAGCCGAAGCCCAGCTCGGAGAAACAGGAGCCTCCCCAGCCTACAGCGGGGCCAATTCCGACTGAGGTGAGGGCTTAGAAACCGTGCATCGTCCACTGTCGCACTGGCGTTATAAGTTTTTTATATAGTCGCGGGTTAAGAATATCATCATGACATCTGATGCTGTAGGCTTGAGCGTAGGTAGTTCGTGTACCCGCCAGGAAGCTGTGACGATATTCGATGAAATATGAACTCGATTTGGCCGCGGGCCAATACGATATTTTTTACCTCAATACCTTGTCGGCGGCACACCTCCATTAAAGGGACAGTATCACCATTTTGATGAAATTTGACATTGCATAGGCCCCACCTTTCTGGTCCGGGAACTGAAGACCGATCCTCGAAGCTCCACACCGTTATCCCGCTATCGCCGCTCAAAGTACGAAAGGTGTACCACACTTTGAATCGTGCTGAATCGTGCTTCACTATCTTCACTTTTTAAATGTTTGCGCCGTTTTGAATTGACCGCCAGTAATAAAACTTTTACCCTGGTCATTTCATCAAATTTTATAAAGCCAAAACGTTTTTCGCACTTATTCATCACCGTTAAATTCATTAAATAGTCGTAGGCAATTTCCGCTGTTTCCTTCGGATTCTAGCGGCTCAACAAAGGAATTCCTCCAGCTTGAATCACAATCTCCCTCCAATGTATGACGTTTATCACGTGATTGTCACGTGATATTTTCTCCCATTGTCAATTGTCACGTCCAATTGTCACTCCCTCCAATTGTCACGTGATATTTTTATAGGCAATATGTAGGCGTTCAACTAGTGTTAAGAGTAAGAACTGCAACTTTCGGTGTTCGATCGTAGAGGGCGGGCCTATCTGCCTGCCGGCGGAGGTCGCTGACCGGTCGCAGGGCAGTGTGTGATCGGAGCCGAGCGCAGAGAGTGCGGCACCTGTACTGAAGTGTTATCTTGATCGGGAAGCAAATACAAGTGAGTGCGACACGCTACAAATACCTAAGGCTACCTCTCCGTAAGGACAACTCAATCAGAAGAACGACCGCGTAAGCGTAGCGTCAATAATGTATTATCTGCGCCAGTTCTGTAGTAATTTTGCATGCTTCCAAACTGGCGGCCATGCTTGTATAGTGGTGGTTCGCTCATGAAAATGAATCATGAAAATGAAATGTGGTTGCAATATTTTTCACCGAGTTCGGTCCTCAAACTATGTTTTTCTGATTCAGAAAAACAAGAAATGCTAGTAAAAAAAAAATCAGCTCCATACATTGATTTTTTTTTCGATGATACTGTCCCTTTAAAGGTAGTGTGCCAGCTTTCCTGGACCATATGGAGTTAATGACCCGGATAAGGAGAACCGGATTTTTAGAACTCATCGATACCTTCAAAACTCATGGAAACGTCTTAAATTCTTCAAATTTTGAGTACCCCAGCGCGAAATTCGCCCCGACGGGTTGTCGGTCGTACCCCAACCACATTTCACACCACTATGAACAATAAATGCACACACCAAAATCGCTATTACCGATAGGCTCATCCAATCAAGTTTCGATAAACCCGTTCATCATCATCTCCTGCGGTTTCGAACACGCCTGTTAGGTGGTGCGGTAGACCGCGCCCAAAGCCAGGGCCCCGGTAACGTGAGTTAGCCGAGTCGAGGCAGCGTGCGCTGACCCAAGCCGGGGCCGCGCGTCCTCCCGGTGTCATGTGATAGCCCGGGGCTGCCCGCGGGGATGCGGTAGACCGCGCCCAAAGCCGCGGCCCCGGCTTGGGTCAGCGCACGCTGCCCCGACTCGGCTACCTCACGTTACCGGGGTCCTGGCTTTGGGCGCCGCTTCTGCTCATACTTTGTGGTGCGGTGGTGGTGCGTCGGGCCGCGCGCTCTGACTTCGGCCAAGAAAAATGCGTCAGCTGTTCATTGTCATTTCTGCCACTTTCGTGTGGTGAAATGGGGTCATAATTTAAGAGACGGCTGTTTTATATCAATTATTTTACATAAAATCATATTTCAAACCATAAATTAATGTACGACAGCCAAATTAAAGAAACAATACCAATACAGGCTTACAGTTTAAGTCAGACATTGTGTTGTCTACGATTAGACAGCTGATAACTCATTCCCGTACGTCGTAACTCTATAATGACCTTTGCTGATTGTCACATGTGCGCCGCATTCGCGTTTGTTGCCGACGCCTGTTTGCAGGTGAGCCCACTACAGTTGTTATACATATCGAAAAACCGATAAACTTTTAGGCAAAAAAAGCACTATTCCAGGCCCATTTTTGATTTTTTTTGCGATATTAGGTAAAAACAGAAGCTTCTTATCCTAGGAAAAATAAAATGGGAAATCTTTCAAAGGTGGCACACTACCTTTAATGTCCACCTGCCTTCCATTGTTCTTATGTGGCTAACCTGTGCCCCTGCGGCCTCACAGACCCCGGCCAGTGACAAGCAGCCCTCTGATGTGACGTCACCCGGTACCCAGCCGGCTGAAACACCTCAGAAGACCGAGCCAACCAAGTGAGTGGGTGGACACTGGACACCGTCGCATACGGGAGTGTGGAACGTTGACCGATGGAATGGATGGAGATGTAGCTGGAAAGGTAGACATCAGGGATGTTACGTTAAGTCATCAGGAATGTGGCGGTAATAGAAATAAACTGTGGCAAGAAGTTTCGGAGTGACCCTGAATGTTTCTGCACAAATGGGATTCAGCATTCTCGAGGTGATGCAGAATGATGTCGATTTATATCTCTTGTAGGAACTGCCTGTTTAATCCAGGGAAGGCATCTATCAAGTGTTGTACGTTTAGTTGTCTACACAGTTTGTAAATTTTCACCTCAGGAATGTAGCCCAGTTTGCGACACCAGCTATCTACCCCCAACACAGCTCTGTCTTTGCGTATCACTCGTGCTGTCTTCATTCATCGGTATGTCGTGAGCCCTCGAAATGTGGTTCCACCCAGAGTTTGTGATGTCTTTTCAGCTCTGCCGGGGCCGATGGTCTGGGAAGGGTTGAGCTCACCCTTCGCCACAACCGTTCCAAGGAAGCCCTCGAGATCACCGTCCACAGGGTGGTGTGAGTAGACCGCCAGCTAAATCCACTGCGACCAAAATCAAACGCGCTCGCCATTGACTGACTATGACAGTGGTCAATGACAACCGCGGTTCTCTTATCCCTTATAATTGGTTCTGAATTAATATATTTGTAAAATATTTGCAGACTGACAGCCAATTGTAGTGGAACAGCAATATTAGAGGAGCAGCGATAGTAAAATGTAAGGGTACTGTGATTATGAGAGCAGTAGTTTTCCCCATTTTGTTTTATTTGAGACTTGTCTTTGCGTCCACAGAAACCTGCCTATGCAGGGTGACGACATCCCTGATCCGTACGTCAAGACGTACTTGCTGCCGGATAGATCGGAAAAGAACAAACGGAAGACGAAGGTAAGAACCGGCTTTGCTGCGCTTAATTACCTCTGTAGCAGCAGAAATTCATATCTATAGTTAATACAAATTTAGGTACGCCTCTTTACTGAAGCCGAATCGTCTGTGCATAATGCTCCTATGATACGGATCACCTACTTGAGATGTCTGCATCACGATTGTTTTTATTTCTTCAGAAACTGACGGACAACTGTGACCCGGTGTTTGAGGAGACGTTTGAATACAAAGGTCCGCTGAGCGAGTCCCAGCTCCGCACACTGGAGGTGCTCGTCGTCAGCAAGAAAACGTTCGCCAGGAACCCCGTCATCGGAATGGTGAGATGAAAACGCCTTTCTCTTGGAGCTGGCGACATAACGACTTGTTATTGATCCTTACTTTTTTGCTGGACTACTCTTGTTAATTGTTAAAATATCATATGTTTACGCTGCTACGTAAATTGTACTGGTGTATTTCTACGGTTCAACGTATATTTCTCCCTCAGAAACACATTGACCTGCGCGGAGTGGACCTGGAGGCGGGAACCACCGAGTGGTTCGACCTGGAGCCAGAGGAGCGTTTCGAATCGTAAGTCTGATGGGGCAAATCGCGACGCCAAGCGTACTGTTGCATACTTGTCCTTGCTGTTAGCTAATTCTTGAACTTACTTATGCGCGAAGAGAGGCGATGTAATGTTTCTCTACTGTGCGACTGGCGAGTCGGTTAACTCTGTAAATAATTGTGAACTCTGGTGCACATGCGATGTGAGAAACTGCCCATTGGCAGCGTCCTCAGTCGAAGGTAAATCCCGACCTCGCCTCTCTCCCCTGACAAACCTCCTCCCCTGTTCGGGCAGCTCTCACCCCAAGTACGACCCGTACAGCAGCCCGGCCCCGCCGCCGGCGGCGCCTCCTGTGCCCGAGCCTGAGGTGAAACAGGAGACCCCCTACCCCGCTCCGGCGGGTTCCGGGAAGACGGCGCAGGAGTCGGAGTCGGCAGAGGTAAGGAGGGAGAGAGATGGAGGGAGAGGGAGAGAGAAAGAGAGAGAGAGAGAGAGAGAGAGAGAGAGAGAGAGTCGTCTCACTGCGAGGGTGGGATCAGTGTTGCAGCGAGGTGGTGTGTGCCTGCGGAAAGACGTACTGCGATTGCGGGGATAATTTGTATAATGAAGAGTGCAACTGTACGGAAATGACCTATCATATTTCAATGCTGAGTTAATGACGGTGCAATTTTTCGAGATAATCGGTGTGGTTATATGCAAGGCTTGGGGTACATAATTTTTGCGTTACCTGCTAAGGTTTGTATACCACTCGGCCTGCATCTCTCCTTCAATGTCTTTACCTCTTTTCCATCAGCCCGTGCCGGTGGCTGCGCCACTGGTGGAGCCGCCGCCCGCCGCCAGCACCCAGCCGGCCAAACCGCCGCAGCAGTAAGTTCAGTCATTGGGGCACACTGAGTTACCTTGTAATTGCCAGATGGCACAGTTGACATCCGTTATCTTCGCGAGAAGGTTCTGACGATACATTGTCTGAATGGGATATGCTAAGTGAAAGCATGTTGTGTGACTGCTCAGCTGTTTTGAGAGTTTGTAATGCCACAGTGTTTGAGTGTGTATTTTTAATCACTAATAGCTGGAGCTATAATTTCACGTCCTACGTACGCGCATATACAGCAGCTAGTGACCACCGCTGTTTTTTCGTGATCGATTCCCTGAAGTATTCATGCCCCTTCTGCTCCGTTGAATCACATGTTTGTTCGCAGTCTGGGTGGAGCTGACAAGCTGGGCAGAATCCAGCTAACCCTGAAATACAACCAGGCCCGCTGCGCACTTGCCGTCGTCGTGCATAAAGTCACGTAAGTCATCGGGGTGAGGTGTGAACTTTTCTAGAACGTCGTGTTCTTCATCGTCTAATGCCATAGATATCGGTACTGGTAGCACATGTGTTCAATGCTTGGAGACATGTTAACCTGAGCGTCAGGAATTCGTCGATGATGTTTATATCCAGCTAAAGGCTCATTGCGATCGTAAATTGCTTTTCTTATGCGCCGTCGCGATCTACATTAAGTGAAGATTAAAGCAAGTTTCGCACCAAAGGACTTCCAAACATTTCCCAAACATGATTCGTCCTTTCTCAATTCTGCAGGAACCTGCCGATGCAGGGTGACGACATCCCCGATCCGTACGTCAAAACGTACTTGCTGCCGGATAGGTCGGAGAAGAACAAACGCAAAACTCAGGTGAGTAATTAATTAAATGTATCACTTGGGCATTTCGGGTGCGGCTTTCGACTCTATCGTCACGACCCTGATGGTTTCCAAACTGTGGCATAGCGAGCTTTATTGTTTCCACTCAAGCATTTGAGTTTGAGCACATTTAAGGTGAAATAAAATTATATAGGTAGGCTATATTTGGATAGCAGTAGGAACATATCCTATCGATTGCTACTGATAAAATGGAAATGGGATCTTTCTTCAGTTTGTCGTGACATAACTTCCTTCTCATTGTTACTGAAATTTATCGATTTATTTCGTGTCTGAATGTGACTTGATATTTTCATGTGACCTTGCCTGTTTCAGAAATTCAAGGACAACTGCAATCCCGTTTATGAGGAGACCCTGGAGTATGAGGGGAAGCTGCACGAGCTCCTGCGCACCCTGGAAGTGCAGGTTGTCAGCAAGAAGACGTTCGCCCCCAACCCCATCCTGGGCATGGTGAGACTAAACGACCGCCGATTTTTACAACACGATGTGCGTCATAAGACGAGAAATCGTAACCGTAAATCGGGCTCCATGAGATCACTGCCGTTTTATCCGCATTTGTATGCGCATAGTACGTGAGATTAAAACGGTGGATGAATGTTCACTGCCGACGCGAATATTCACCCTTATCTTCTTGTCGGCCATCTTTCGGATAATGCGTTTGGATTTTTAGCATGCCTCACTGACGCTTTCTAAGTCCATGTGCGTACCTAGATGACAGCATTCTTTGTCACGGAACTTGTAACCAGTTGATAAAATCGCTTATCTGTTAAATCTGCTGCCTTTTATCGCATTGATCACATGTATTTTTCAGAAACATATTGACCTGAAGTCCTTCGACCTGGAAAACGGGATGACTCTCTGGTTTGATCTGGAGCCCGAAGACAGGTTCGACGAGTAAGTTTACCGATAATAGTAACAGCATCTGGCATAAGTTTCATTTAGATGGGGATGTTGTGTGCTAGCATAAAGATATGCTTGACTGTCAAGACTATACTGCTGACCTGATTACGCGTTTATTATCCACTTTTCTATCAACGTTATTTTCCTTCTAAGTTCATGTTCAGTTGAACGATAACGAACCATTTCAAGCCTCACCTCTCCGTGCTCCCCAGATCGGAGGCTAAGCCATCCACTCCGGCTTACGACCCGTACAGTCGTCCCCCGGCGGCCGCCGCTCCGCCACCGGTCGCGGAGCAGCCCAAACAGAAACCAGTGACGCCCCAGGTGAGACGAGCAGAGCAGCTCCAACAGAAACCACTGACGCCCCAGGTGAGACGAGCAGAGCAGCCCCAACAGAAACCACTGACGCCCCAGGTGAGACGAACAGAGCAGCCCAAACAGGAACCACTGACGCCCCAGGTGAGACGAACAGAGCAGCCCAAACAGGAACCATTGACGCCCTAGGTGAGACAGGCCACCCTGAATAGGTGACTTCTGAATAGAATGGAGGGTTATGCCCTGCCATCACACAGTCATTATCTTTAATGTTTGTGATGCATGGAGTTTGTTATATCGTTTAGAGATGCGTCGTGAGGTGGGTTCAGGCATTGACCAAACGCACCCTACAACACTCATGCTCAGCTAACGCAGCAGCTCCGTAGTTTAACGCCACCTTTCCCTCTATGAATGTCTCTGACACCGTTCTGCCTACATGTCGTCCCTCAGGAGAGTGCGGTGCAGAGTTTGATCCAGGACCTCTTGCCTGAAGACATTCCCCTGCGTGAGGATCCCCCGGGACAGGCTGCCGCACCCAGCCAGTCACCGCCGCAGTAAGTGACAGCGTGCCTGGGGCTACAATATCTAGTGACTCGTTACTCACGCCAGTAATCATGACTCACGCCCACCTCTGTTCGATCTTATTGCCTGTCTGTCCGAGATAATGAGTCTTTTTAAGATGTCCGGTTGTTCAGTAAATGAATAGTCATTGGCTTTTACAAGACGAGCTGAATATTTTGATACACCATATGTAAGTGATAATTCTGCTGACCCCATATTGTTACCTGATATGTCCATCACTATGTCCATCTTTCTAGTGTGTGTGACGTGCTCATCTGAGTATGTTGTATCCACTGTCCATCATGTGCCTGATGTGATGTGACAGACCCTCCTGTCAGAGCGGCTGGGTCCGCCCCTGCGACCAGGGTCGCGGGGCGCTGCCGGTGTCAGGGTCAGTTGGCTCGGCTGCGTGCCGGGGTGCGCACGCTCGTGTGTGTAGTGCCGTGTAGTGTCCTAAATACACTCGACCGCAACTGAATAGTGTCATCTATAGTGACATTTCCATCACCTATCACCCGTGTCTCGTCCTCAGTCCGGCCGGCGCGGACCGCCTGGGCAGAATTGAGCTCACCCTCCGCTACAGTCACATGAAGGACGCACTAGAGGTCACCGTGCACAGAGTCGCGTGAGTGCCTATATTGGGCTGGGAAGTGTATATTGGGCTGGGAAGGGGTAACAAACATGTCTGGCTTGTAGTTCTCGGAATTATAGCGCCGTACTTCTGAAAATGCGTGGTAGGTGATAGACCACAAGTGTGTATTTACCACTGAAGCATATTTGGAGTATGCACCTATTTTTAGGACATGTGCGTAGTTATTTGATGGACGACTCAAAAGTCGGACGGCAAGGGTACTTGGTGACGTGTTCGGAAATGGGCACATGGTTAGTGGCCAGCTTGTGTTCTAACATATACCCATTTACCCACTTCTCCAGGAATCTGCCCGTGCAGGGTGATGACATCCCTGATCCGTACGTCAAGACCTACCTGTTGCCGGACAAATCGGGGAGCAACAAACGGAAAACTGAGGTAAATTTTAACCATGGACATGAAACACGAAGCACAATAAATTCCATCCAATGAGTATTAATTGTTCAATGAATTCAAAATTTTGCTTTTAATGACGGACATTGAGGCATATTTTTAAATTTATTTGCTTGTTGATCGCATGTGTAACGATTTGTCGCTTTCTTTTAGCATAAAGGCCTGGCTACACTATGCGTTTTCTGCGTGCGTGTTTTGCGGGTTTGTGGGTTTTGTGTAATATCGGTCTAGAAAAAATAACGATATTACGTTTTTGTGACGTTTTTATGTTAAATTTTAGTTAATGTAAGGGTTAAATTAACTTCGTATATAATAAAAGTTATGTTATTTATAATTTTTTTCCAGAACGATATTACGCAAAAAAAATGCAAACCCGCCAAAAAAAAAAAAACGCACGCAGAAAACGCATAGTGTAGCCAGGCCTTTACAGTCGAATGGCACAGTGATTTAGTTCTCAGTTGTCAGGAACTGACAGAGCTGAACTGGCCCAGTAAACGTTTCTTGTAAGTTGTTGCCTCGACGTTTTTTCCACTCCACAGAAATTCAAGGACGAATGCAATCCCGTATACGAAGAGACGTTCGAATACAAGGGGAAGCAGAGTGATGTCGGCAGTCGCACTCTTGAGGTTCAGGTGGTCAGCAAGAAAACCTTCGGCTGGAACCCAGTCCTCGGCATGGTAAGGCCACTTTTGTTGACGAAGTCACCATTAATATTCACGTATTCAGTGAATTGCACATAAATTTCGTGGTTCGTTTGCTGATAGTATGCATCCAACAGAGCTAACTATAGCAGCACGTTGTTACGGAGCGAGCGAAGCGAGCGGAGTCTTACGTAGAATAACGGAAATTTCTGAGTATGAGCGGTATGAGTATGAGTATTGTCACGATTCTGCGACGCTTATATCTCAGCAACCACTTGACCGATTTACACGCGGTAATTTTTGTAGGGTAGCTTCATTCCTTCTACCAAGTATTTGACTATTCCCGATGCATGTGGGTGACCCCTTATGCACGTGCCACGTGCAAAACGAAGAGGTGTCACTTTTGTAATTGTTGCAATATCTCGGTAACTACTTGGCCGATTGCGCTGAAAGTTGGCATGTAGGTAGGCACCCACTAGGCAATGCACATCCATGTGCCAGAGTTGGGGTGCTGCTGCACGTGCGCACGTGCAGGGGTCGATTCCAGATCTCGAGAACGGCTGGACCGATGGCGCTCAAATTTGGTATGTACATGGTTAGGGACCGGTTAGTAGGGTGCCGTGCAAAAGTCAGTTGGGACCCATTTTGCACGTGCGCACGTGCAGGGTGCCGCTTCCAGATCTCGAGAACGGCTGGGCCGATTGTGCTCAAATTTGGCACATCGCTAGAGACCGGTTAGTAGGGTGCCGTGCACAAGTCAGCTGGAGGTACCCCCTCGAAATTTCGCACGTGCAAGGGTCACCCTCTCGCTCGCTCCGTTAGTCGCCCCAAAAGGCGTTATCCTGGTTATTAATTGATAAATCGCGCAAAACTAGACGGTAGACAATGGTGCAGAATTGGGGCGTTAAATGACATTTGCATAACAGCTCTTCGACATGCGGCTCGGTGTTCAGTCGAAATAGTGAATGCATAAGTAACACCATGGGATTGGGTATGTAGTTAGCAACCGGTCATTTACGACATCAAATGATTTATTATTCAAGTCACGATAAATGAGTTAACTTATATGTTGTTTCAGTCTTTAATTCGGGAGCCGTAACAGTATTAAAGCGAAGCAGCGTTCGAACTGCCACACTGCTAACCAGGCGCTGGCAGCAGTTGATACCCAAGAAGATGCAGCAACTATTTTATTTTATACATTTTTTATGCTTATTATTGTAGGATTTTAATACTCTCTGCTGTAATTGCCCTCCTTTCTCCCTCAGAAACACATTGACCTGCGCGGCGTGAACCTGGAGGCGGGAACCACCGATTGGTTCGACCTGGAGCCAGAGGAGCGATTCGACTCGTAAGCGACACGCTCTTCTCCGAGCTGCAGCAGTTCTCTAACCACCGACTGAATTCCCTTATACACCGCCGCTGGCGGCAGGCGGGGAGAACCGCCTGACCGGCTGATTAGTGCTTTATCTGTCCGTCACAAGCGTGTAGGCTGTGATGGGGACTGAGGAGTCAGGTCCCTCACTATCTTGCTTGGACGTTGGTTTTTTAACTCTGCTGTTTTTCTCCTGGTTGGCTTGTGTGCGCGCGATGTGACTTTTGTTGGTTCTGTTGTCAGAGTATGTCAAAGGTCGCTGAAACAGAGGTCGATCTGTTTTGCTTTCTTTGCTTGGAATGTAAAGGTGCTGAGCAGCAGCCCATATTCACCCCCTCAGGGCCCCAGCGCCCCTGTTTTTTTTCATGGTGGCAGTTTTCTGAATACGATTGACACACATCAGGGTGATAATTCTGGCTGTCTGTGGATACCGAGTCACTGGTTGTTACTTAATAATGCTGTCTGTGATCCTGGTTGTTGCAAGCGATGTTACGAAGCAATATAATGTGCTTGGACAGTTAACCGATGCATCATACACATGCAATGCATTCTGTTGGTTATTGCCATTGGTGCGACCCTGGGATGTTTGCTCCTCTTACGATGATGGACTTAGTCTCACTTCTCTTGAATCTACTTACCTTACCAGTGACAGAATGGCATTCGCGTTGCCATAGTTATGGTCTATGCTAGTCCGAGATGGAGCGGCACGTCGTTGCTACCGCTCTTCCGTGTGGTGCGTTCAGACTGAATGGTGGACAGATCTGTATGAAAGAGGCCAACCAGACCCTGTGCTTGGGTTTGCTATCTGTTAACTAATAGACTTGTAATGCTCCTTGCTTTGTCATAATATATTTAGCCTTGTCAATATTTGTTTAGCTCGATTCATTTGAGGGGGTCTTAGCAGCATTAAAAGGTAGTGTTTGCTTACCATAGTTTCCTGGAGCCTGCCTGACTCTACCTCGGGCATGAGGCCAGCATACTACATCACGTCTGTGTATATTGAGCTGGTCATATGTCAGCCGTGTGCCCTCCACCGCACCTGTGAGGGTCCCATACGGGCTGTGGTGACCGTGATACAATCAGCAGTGACGCGATATGACAGGCGCTGACAGGGATCTGATAATACACAGACGCTGATGCTACTCCGTACAGGCACCATGGGCCGCCCGTCGTGACCCCGCAGTTGTGTTAGAGCAGTGGTGCTTCACAGAGTATCGATATTTCGTACTCTTTGTGCCATTCCCGTTTATGTTTGGTTAATTTGAGCGAGATAAACGGCTTAGAATATTTGACCAGTCATATATTGACATCTGATAACGAACATAACAACCTTCGTAAATGCTGCCTTGCATTGGAGTAGTGAACCTGTTCAAACCTATTTCAAAGAGGCAGCCTGCTTCATCTGAAGAGTCTTTGTTATTATATTCTAGAATGATGAACGATTTAAATGAAATACAAGCGTGCATCGATAGGATAATATCTCTTCATGATATCTGCCTACCTTAAAAATTGTGATTATAAACTCAGTGACCAAAGACGGCTCTGATCTCGACGGCGACCAATACTAAAGCGACATTATAAATATTTTTGCGTTATAGGCATGCATGTCATCACATGAACGAAGTAGTGTTAGCAACTTTTTTATAGGTAAGGCACAGTTGATGACACACTGAGTATAGAATAATAGTACATGCCTTCCGACTAGTATCCAGGCACTATATATTATAATATTGTCACATATATCTTGAATCTGGATACACACGCCTGTTTCCCAATGTTTCCTTACAGACGCCCAGGCCATGGGTCCAGAATATAGATGGCACCTGTTACAAACTATACGAAATAAAATATACGACTGTAAAGACATAGTGTTCATGCAAGACGTCACTTGCAACGTACACGTTGGGAATCAACATATGTTGCCTATGTTAGGGTATTGCCCATACCCTTTTGGGTAAGATGAGCCCTTACACCGAAAAATCAGCAGTGGTTTTTTCCGGTGCCTTGACCTTTTTATGCGGAACGAGCTTCCTTAATTTAACATCAGTTTGAATGAAGCCGGTTTGGATGATACGTTTCACACCCGGCACAGAACGGCCGTCTTTCCATCTCTGCTGTTCTCGCGGTCCAGTAACCACTGTTGCTTAGCTGACGATGGTCCCCGTGGCCAGGGCGTGGCGCTGCTTGTTCTCCAGACTTCTCAGGGCCCTCTGTTTCCTCCGAGCTTCCAGCTTGGCCTGTACGCGGGTCAGAGGTCAGGTCAAAGGTTTTGTAACAAATACACGCAAAGCTCGTCCTCTATGCATCGCACGCGGAGGTCGGATCGCGAGTTAGGTCAGAGGTCAGATCAAAGCCAGGAAAGTTGATCACCATGATGCACTTCTCGGTATACTGAGCTTATCTTATAAAACGTAATTAATTTTCAGGATTTTTTTTCGACTGTAAATTCTCGCACCCCAATAAGTATGTATAAGTTAATCATGCGGCACAGATATTCAAACATTATTCATAAGTAGGCGTTCCTGAGTGTGAGCTTTAAATGTGCCTTGTCTATATTTCACATTATTCGGAACCCTGCACCCCTGGCGGCTGACCTGAAGATCTCCCCGTGTTCTGGCGGCCTGTCGGTCCTGCTCACGCAGGAACACGCTCATCTCCGTCTCGTGCTTCTCCCTCATGTTGTCAAGCTCCTCTGTGGACAGAACATGCAGGCATCTGTCTTACGACTCGTAAAGGGTGCTTCCTTGTACGAGGGGGTATCGAAAAGTTCTGATCATCACATAGAAGATATAGACCGATTTTGATGATTTTTGGTTGTATTTGTTTCTTAACCCGCGCCCCACGGGGGGGGGGGGCTATTTATAGCCCCCCTCCCGTTTTTCTGCAATAACTTCCAAACCGCTTGACGTATCGACGCCAAACTTTCATTACCTTCGGCTGCATCAATTTGACACCTTGTGTCAAAATTTGAAGTTCGTACCTACCATAGGTCGGCCGGAAATGACGTCAGAGTGACGTCATGTTCGGCCGATTTCGACGCAAAACATTGAACCACGGCAATCGCTCCCAAGAGCTCAGTTTTTAAGCTAGATTCAATTTCTTTGCATGAGAGGACTCAGAATAGACTGCGCTATCAAACTGCTATCTCGGACTTTCGAAATTTTGAAAATTCCGAAAATTTTATATAATTAAATTAAAAATTCATATTTTTCCTTTTTTTTCAAAATTCTTTTGACTTTTCGAAAAACCGGAATATATGTGATAGAACGCATTATTATGACTAATTCTAGCAAGTTTTAGCTAAATATCTTCAAAAATGGCCAAGTTATACGCATTATTGCAAAAAATTAACAATTATTAATTTTTCAAATCAATTTTTCAGCACGAATTTGACATCGTACGCCAATATAAATAGCACCATCGTGTTTCTGAGCTCAAACTGCATCCAATAGACACCTTTTTTGTTGAAAAATTTTAACTTCAAAATTTGACCTTTTTTGACCTGAAAGTGACCTGACCTAAGCTAAATTTGACTCAAAATGACCTCGAATGACACAAACGACATCAAATTCGAAATGTTTGGCCTAAATGGACCATAAAACATGTGTCACGTGACCGACGGATGATATAATATTTTCGTGACCTGTGATGACCTGACCTTGACCTGAAAATCAAAGTACAAGTTTGGTACCCTCAGAGTATCTAGAGCATCTGCTCACGAGTGTGTGAACCAAAAATGAGCCTGATCTGACTTGTAAGACGGCGGCCAGAGCCCAAAACGTGAAGAAGCCAAAATGCTAATAATTTTTACTTTGACCTGACCTGTGACGTCATCGGTGACCTCGAGGTCAATGAAATTAGGTTTCGCTCGACAGTTTTTCCGGGGCTATCAGACGCCGTTTGAATTTTGACGATCGGCCCAGTAGTTTCGGAGTTAGGAGGGGGGGGGGGCTATGAATAGCCCCCCCCCAGTAGGGCGTGTTATACGCAGACCCCAGTGGGGCGCGGGTTAAGAACAATGCTCCCGCTAAGAGAATCCTGAGAAGTGGTTTTATCTTATGTAGGAGAGACTTAGAAGTAAAAAAAAAAAAATGAGTATTGGGCCCATTGAGGACCGAACCGTCATCCAGCTAATGCATTTGAAACGGTATCACACTGAGAAAATACATCAAGAACGTGAAATTAGTTTATGGCGAGGAAAGTACATCTCATGCACATACCGAAAATGAGGAAATAATTTTCACCTTGGTTGCATGACCCTTGCAGGGGAGTCAAGAAGTGAGGTACTACCAGTGACTGACAAGGTGGTGACTGTGAAGGAAGTGGAGGACCTCATCCTTACAGATCGTCGTGTGGCCTTTCAGATGATTGTGCAACAGAAAGGTATCAATGCTTGCAGTGCCTAAAAATATTATCAGCGAAGAACTATAGACGATAAAGGGGTCAGCCCGCTTAGAAGTTCGTGTGTCTACTTTGTTTAAGAGAAAAATGCGTCTTGGCCTTTCGAAATGAAAACTAGATCTTTTTTAGGAAATTGAAGACATCTTCGATCAATTGATGACTTGTGACGAATGCTGGGTCTATGTGTATGATCCAGAGACAAAAAGATGATCAAGAAGTTTAAGCTCTTGATGGGATGCTCAGCCATTCGGCACTGCCAAGTGATATGATCCATTCCTTGTTAGTTCCTATAATTAAGGACAGGTGCGGTGCTTTAGATGACAAAGCAAATTACCGTGCTATAGCATTGTCCACTACTTTGTCAAAGATATTGGAACTCATACTTTTGGACAGGTTAATGCCTTTCCTCAGTACCAGCGATGCACAGTTTGGCATCAAGGCGGGACAGTCCACTACTTTTGCATCATACGTCCTTAAAGAAACAGTGAACCACTATACAAGTCAGGGTAGCCCTGTTTATGCCTGCTTTTTGGACGCCAGCAAAGCATTTGACAGAGTATCCCATTCTAAACTCTTTCGCATTCTTGCTGATCGTAATGTACCTCTGCCATATGTCAAGCTCCTCTTAAGGTGGTATAGGACGCAAAAACTAAGCGTCAAGTGGGCTGGTAGTGAATCCGACACCATCAACGTTCAGAATGGTGTAAGGCAGGGTGGATCGTTATCCCCGATGCTATTTAATGTTTACATTGACTCCCTTCTTACTGTATTGAGGAAGCTGAAGATCGGCTGTTTCATGGGTCCAAGTGCCGTGAATGTGATTGCGTATGCTGATGATTTAGTGCTTTTGGCTCCAACTAGGTCAGCCCTTCAAACGTTGGTACACAAATGTGAGCACTCTGCATTAGCGCTTGATGTCGTGTTTAACACGAAGAAGACAGTGTGTTTGCTGTTTCCGCCACAAAAGCCATATAGAAAACTACACCTGTCCAACAGCCAGACTGCAGATATTTATTTAAATGGACAAAAACTTGGATGGGTGCAGGAGTTTAAATATTTGGGTCACACAGTTTCATGTGATTTGGATGATAGTTCTGACATGCGCAGAGTTAAACGATTTATGTATTATAGTACAAATATGCTTTGTGCTCAATTAGGCTTTGCAGATAGGGACACTCTAGTTAGGCTCTTCAGGACATTTTGTACAAGCATGTATGGCTGTGAGTTGTGGAGTATGCTGAGTGGGAAAAAGGCGATGCGTGAATTGTGTGTGGCCTATCACTCCTGTTTGAAGAAACTTGTTAAAGTTCCAAGATGGGCGAGAAACCACAACCTGTGCATGGAGCTAAAGATGCTTACATGTCCAATGCTGATAGCGAGTAGGCAGCTTCTTTTCTGGAAGAGAGCTACATCTAGTCAAAATAGCATAATAAATGATCTGAATAGGGCCATAGGCGAGAAAGG